CGCTCGGAAGCATCGCTTCCCTTTCTCATTCCTCCTCAAGCACAAGCCTTTTCTACATGTTCTCAGCAGCCTCCAACGCAGGCGGCGCTGCCTACTCCGACCACTACAACAGCCAACCCAGAGTTCCTCACGCCACCGGAAACTACCCAAGGTTCTTCCAACGCGCTTCACTTTGCAGTGCTTTCTAAGAAACAAGCACAGAAAGCAAGCCACGGGCAACACACATCTCAAGTCGAAAGACCAACACCCATTACGGCATTAAGGCGTTACGTAAGAAAAGCAGAGTTGAACAGGAAGAGGGATTTCACTGAAGGATACACCAGAGCTCTCGCTGCAGGCCTAAGGGAAAGGATGAAAACAGATATCTGCAGAACAGCTGACCCAGAAGATTCCGCCCCACCACTTTCACATCCCCCTTCCAACCCGTGCAGCCAGCCACCCAAAACACACCGCCGGACCAGGATCTCCACCAACAGCCCCACGCACACCCAAGCCATTTGCTCCCAGACCACAAAAACCAACAGCCAAAAGTGAAAGCCACAGACAAAATCTCTCGGCAACAGGAAAGCGACAAAGGGAAAGATGACACACCACATAAAGCCGGCACCGCGGCAGCACACAGACCACTGCCACCACCCAGCCCCACCAGGCTCCTGCCCACCACAACCAGAGTCCCACCATGGCTGTGCCTGCAAGCCCACAGCACCCACGGGGCTACAGCATCCTGCTGCTCACGCTCCTTATGAAAGCTCTAGCAGCCGCCGCCGCCTGCAACCACCTTCGCCTCCAGGATGCCACCTTCTCTCGCGACAGCCTCCAGCTCCTCCGGGACATGGCTCCCAGCCCACCCCAGCCGTGCCCACAGCACAGCGCGCCATGCTCCTTCAACGACACCATCCTGGACACCAGCAACGCCCGGCAAGCCGACAAAACCACCCACGACATCCTCCAGCACCTCTTCAAAATACTCAGCGGACCCAGCACTCCAGCCCACTGGGTCGACAGCCAACGCCAAAGCCTCCTCAACCAGATCCAGCGGTACACCCAGCACCTCGAGCAGTGCTTGGCGGGCAGCGACACGCGCTCCCGCACACGATGGCCTCGCAACCTTCACCTCACCATCAACAAACACTTCAGCTGCCTCCACACCTTCCTCCACGACAACGATTACAGCGCCTGCGCCTGGGACCACGTCCGCCTACGAGCTCGCACCTGGTTCCTGCACATCCACGACCTCGTGGGCAACACGCGCACCTAGCCCCAAGCGCACCTCCCACCCTCTTCCTAGTTATCTATTTATTCAACTATTTATACAAACGACTATTTATTCGTCTATTTATTCTTCTATTTATTCAGACAAAATAAAGCTCTCCTTTCCAAAACTGCCTGCGACTGCCTCCTTGCGCTCAATCACAGGAGCCCCTTTCGGGGGCAACCAACCCTGGGATTCTCACACACACCTCTGAAAACTCTGGTACCCGCTTGCTTCTTCTGCAAACCTTGCAGGTCCAGGGAGATCCACCAGTTCGCCACAAAAAGCAGACAAAGCAGGGACACCTGCGGCAGCAGGACCGGCCCGCTTTGACTAACAAAGCCAAAGCAAGAAGCTGATTATCACTTTCAGCACAGCAGCTTGACGGCCACAGCGGTACCGCGGGGACGGCCAAAAGTAGCCCTACAGTTAACTCGAGCCTTGAGTACGGTGAGCAAGAACGCAAAGGCGGCGTATCACTGCAGTACTTGACTCTTCACGCAAATCCTGTCAAACATCACCCCACACAGAGAAACCCACCAGAAACAGCTTCTAAGGGGAAGCAGAGCAGACAAAGGTAGGGAGAAGGAAGGAGACAGCAGAGCTAAGAGACGGGAAGCTACAGTCATCTTACTCCACCATGACGGGGCACCTTCTTGGCAACCACTCCGCCTCACCTCGGGGTGGAGAACGCTGCCACAGCGTGGATTTGAGTACCGCTGTGTCTTAGTTTCACAGGCTGGGACTAGAACTGTTTTCTTCAGAGCGCCTGATACGATGCGGTGTTTTGGTTCTAGGAGAAAAACAACGCTGCTAACACACCAACGCTTACTCTTGCTGCTAAGCGGTGCTGCACAGAGCCAAGGCCACTCTCAGCAAAGGGCCCAAGGAGCTGAGGGGGAGCAGAATTAGGACAGCTGACTCCAACTGGCCCAAAGGGGTATTCCCTACCATACGACATCAAGCGGAAGGAGTTTTGAGGAGGGTGGCAGATCAACTCGCTCGTCCTTCCGCTCCTCGACTGGTTGCAAAGCAGCTCTCCGCCCAACCAAAAAAGTCACGGCTGTCAGGCAAAGTGCCCGGTGACTGCAAAAAGGGAAACATCACTCCCCGTTTTTAAAAAGGCAGGCAGGAAGACGCGGGGAGATACTGGCCGGAGAGCCTCGCCTCTAGGCCTAGGAAGATCACCGAGCAGAAGTGCCAGGAAAACAGAGGGACCAGCAGGTGATCCGAGACTGCCCCCACGGCTTCAACAGGGGCACATCTATAGCGCTAGTGCCTGACTATCCCAGTGGCCTCCTGCGATGGAGCGACTGCATCGGTGCCCAAAGAGAAGGCAACCGATGCCATCGATAAGGAATTCCTGCAAGGCCTGCACCTCACCCACGTCACAAATTGGAGAGACGGGGGTTCAAAAGGTGCAGCTATTCGGTGGATGAGGAATTGGTTGCATGCTCGCGGCCCGAGGGCTGCGATCAAGGCTCTACTCCCAGGTGGAGGCCGGACACAAGTGGTGTCCCCCAAGGTGCGTCTTGGGGCCACTGCTCTTCAACATCTTTAACAGCAACACAGGTGATGGGATCCTGCACCCTCACCAAGTTTGCAGGCTTCGCGCATCAAGCTGAGCGCGGCAGCTGATACGGCAGAAGGAAGGGATGCCATCCAAAGGGACTCTGACCAATTCAAACCCACCTGGGCCCATGTAAACCCAAGGACGTTCAACAAAATCAAGTGCAAGGTGCTGTACTTGGGCGGGGACAACGCCAAGATACGCAGGCAGCATGGGAGAACAACTCCTTGAGGGCAGCCCTGCCAAGAAGGATGTAGGGGTCCTGGTAGACAAAAAACTTAACATCAGCTAGCAGTTGGCACCTGCAGCCCCCAAGGCCGACCGCGTACTGGTCTGCATCGAGAGGAGTGGCCAGCAGGGAGAGGGAGGCGACTGTCCCCCACCCCCGCTCTGCTCTGCCCTCGTGACACCCCAGCTGCAGTAATGCCTCCAGGTCTGGGGCCCCAGCTCAGGAAAGCTGGCGAGATTTTGGTGAGAGGCCAGCGCAGGGCCACAGGGACAATCAGAGGGCTGGAGCGCTTCGCCTGCAAAGACAAGCTGACGGAACTCTGCCTGTCCGGTCTGCAGAACACAAAGCACCAGGGTGACCACGTTGCAGCCTGCCAGTACTTACAGGGACGTTATAAACAGGAGGAAAATCAACTTTTCACACGGGTACATAGCGACAGGACACGGCTTTAAAATAAAAGAGTTTAAGATCAGATGCCAGGGGGAGACGGACGTGAGGCACTGGCACACGATGCCCAGAGAGATTCTGGATGTCCCCCAGTACCGGAGGTGTTCCAGGCCACGCTGGATGCAGCACTGGGAAGCCTGCTCTACGGCTTGAGTCTTGCGGTTGGCAACCGCGCCCTCGGCAGTGAGTGGGAACGACATGATGACCTCCGAGGCCCCTTCCAACCCAAGCCATTCCGTGACACAAAGGGGGCCTACGGGACACCTGCCGTGGGAACCATAAACGCGGACTGCAATGGCAGGACAGGGGGCAACGGCTCGCAACTAAAAGAGAGGAGGTTCACACTAGACGTTAGCAAGAGACTTTGTCCTCTGAGGGGCGGTGGGGCACAGGAAAAGGTCACCCACAGAAACTGAGGACGCCCCAACACCGGAAGCCTCCAACGTCAGGCTGGAGGGGGCGTTGGGCAACCCGCTCTAGTGGAAGGCGGCGCTGCCCACGGAAAGGGGGTTGCTTGGAAGCGGACGGCACTTGAGGTCCCTTCCAAACCAAACCACCCTCTCGTTCTATCATCTCCTCAAGTCTCCGCATCCTCAACAGGTGCTTAATAACTACATCAGGGGGCTCGCCTCCATAAGGCTTGTGGACTCCTCCTGGACACTCAGACAAACCTTTGGCCTCCGCAACGTAAGATCCTTGCCTTACAACTATCCGCCTGCTGGTCCATTTCCTCCTTCTCACCGGATGCCACAGGAAGCAAGGAAAAGAAGAGACGACGGAGGAAGGAGACGCGGCGCCCGAGGAGCACCGCAGCCGCAGCACCCGCTCGGAAGCATCGCTTCCCTTTCTCATTCCTCCTCAAGCACAAGCCTTTTCTACATGTTCTCAGCAGCCTCCAACGCAGGCGGCGCTGCCTACTCCGACCACTACAACAGCCAACCCAGAGTTCCTCACGCCACCGGAAACTACCCAAGGTTCTTCCAACGCGCTTCACTTTGCAGTGCTTTCTAAGAAACAAGCACAGAAAGCAAGCCACGGGCAACACACATCTCAAGTCGAAAGACCAACACCCATTACGGCATTAAGGCGTTACGTAAGAAAAGCAGAGTTGAACAGGAAGAGGGATTTCACTGAAGGATACACCAGAGCTCTCGCTGCAGGCCTAAGGGAAAGGATGAAAACAGATATCTGCAGAACAGCTGACCCAGAAGATTCCGCCCCACCACTTTCACATCCCCCTTCCAACCCGTGCAGCCAGCCACCCAAAACACACCGCCGGACCAGGATCTCCACCAACAGCCCCACGCACACCCAAGCCATTTGCTCCCAGACCACAAAAACCAACAGCCAAAAGTGAAAGCCACAGACAAAATCTCTCGGCAACAGGAAAGCGACAAAGGGAAAGATGACACACCACATAAAGCCGGCACCGCGGCAGCACACAGACCACTGCCACCACCCAGCCCCACCAGGCTCCTGCCCACCACAACCAGAGTCCCACCATGGCTGTGCCTGCAAGCCCACAGCACCCACGGGGCTACAGCATCCTGCTGCTCACGCTCCTTATGAAAGCTCTAGCAGCCGCCGCCGCCTGCAACCACCTTCGCCTCCAGGATGCCACCTTCTCTCGCGACAGCCTCCAGCTCCTCCGGGACATGGCTCCCAGCCCACCCCAGCCGTGCCCACAGCACAGCGCGCCATGCTCCTTCAACGACACCATCCTGGACACCAGCAACGCCCGGCAAGCCGACAAAACCACCCACGACATCCTCCAGCACCTCTTCAAAATACTCAGCGGACCCAGCACTCCAGCCCACTGGGTCGACAGCCAACGCCAAAGCCTCCTCAACCAGATCCAGCGGTACACCCAGCACCTCGAGCAGTGCTTGGCGGGCAGCGACACGCGCTCCCGCACACGATGGCCTCGCAACCTTCACCTCACCATCAACAAACACTTCAGCTGCCTCCACACCTTCCTCCACGACAACGATTACAGCGCCTGCGCCTGGGACCACGTCCGCCTACGAGCTCGCACCTGGTTCCTGCACATCCACGACCTCGTGGGCAACACGCGCACCTAGCCCCAAGCGCACCTCCCACCCTCTTCCTAGTTATCTATTTATTCAACTATTTATACAAACGACTATTTATTCGTCTATTTATTCTTCTATTTATTCAGACAAAATAAAGCTCTCCTTTCCAAAACTGCCTGCGACTGCCTCCTTGCGCTCAATCACAGGAGCCCCTTTCGGGGGCAACCAACCCTGGGATTCTCACACACACCTCTGAAAACTCTGGTACCCGCTTGCTTCTTCTGCAAACCTTGCAGGTCCAGGGAGATCCACCAGTTCGCCACAAAAAGCAGACAAAGCAGGGACACCTGCGGCAGCAGGACCGGCCCGCTTTGACTAACAAAGCCAAAGCAAGAAGCTGATTATCACTTTCAGCACAGCAGCTTGACGGCCACAGCGGTACCGCGGGGACGGCCAAAAGTAGCCCTACAGTTAACTCGAGCCTTGAGTACGGTGAGCAAGAACGCAAAGGCGGCGTATCACTGCAGTACTTGACTCTTCACGCAAATCCTGTCAAACATCACCCCACACAGAGAAACCCACCAGAAACAGTTTCTAAGGGGAAGCAGAGCAGACAAAGGTAGGGAGAAGGAAGGAGACAGCAGAGCTAAGAGACGGGAAGCTACAGTCATCTTACTCCACCATGACGGGGCACCTTCTTGGCAACCACTCCGCCTCACCTCGGGGTGGAGAACGCTGGCACAGCGTGGATTTGAGTACCGCTGTGTCTTAGTTTCACAGGCTGGGACTAGAACTGTTTTCTTCAGAGCGCCTGATACGATGCGGTGTTTTGGTTCTAGGAGAAAAACAACGCTGCTAACACACCAACGCTTACTCTTGCTGCTAAGCGGTGCTGCACAGAGCCAAGGCCACTCTCAGCAAAAGGCCCAAGGAGCTGAGGGGGAGCAGAATTAGGACAGCTGACTCCAACTGGCCCAAAGGGGTATTCCCTACCATACGACATCAAGCGGAAGGAGTTTTGAGGAGGGTGGCAGATCAACTCGCTCGTCCTTCCGCTCCTCAACTGGTTGCAAAGCAGCTCTCCGCCCAACCAAAAAAGTCACGGCTGTCAGGCAAAGTGCCCGGTGACTGCAAAAAGGGAAACATCACTCCCCGTTTTTAAAAAGGCAGGCAGGAAGACGCGGGGAGATACTGGCCGGAGAGCCTCGCCTCTAGGCCTAGGAAGATCACCGAGCAGAAGTGCCAGGAAAACAGAGGGACCAGCAGGTGATCCGAGACTGCCCCCACGGCTTCAACAGGGGCACATCTATAGCGCTAGTGCCTGACTATCCCAGTGGCCTCCTGCGATGGAGCGACTGCATCGGTGCCCAAAGAGAAGGCAACCGATGCCATCGATAAGGAATTCCTGCAAGGCCTGCACCTCACCCACGTCACAAATTGGAGAGACGGGGGTTCAAAAGGTGCAGCTATTCGGTGGATGAGGAATTGGTTGCATGCTCGCGGCCCGAGGGCTGCGATCAAGGCTCTACTCCCAGGTGGAGGCCGGACACAAGTGGTGTCCCCCAAGGTGCGTCTTGGGGCCACTGCTCTTCAACATCTTTAACAGCAACACAGGTGATGGGATCCTGCAGCCTCACCAAGTTTGCAGGCTTCGCGCATCAAGCTGAGCGCGGCAGCTGATACGGCAGAAGGAAGGGATGCCATCCAAAGGGACTCTGACCAATTCAAACCCACCTGGGCCCATGTAAACCCAAGGACGTTCAACAAAATCAAGTGCAAGGTGCTGTACTTGGGCGGGGACAACGCCAAGATACGCAGGCAGCATGGGAGAACAACTCCTTGAGGGCAGCCCTGCCAAGAAGGATGTAGGGGTCCTGGTAGACAAAAAACTTAACATCAGCTAGCAGTTGGCACCTGCAGCCCCCAAGGCCGACCGCGTACTGGTCTGCATCGAGAGGAGTGGCCAGCAGGGAGAGGGAGGCGACTGTCCCCCACCCCCGCTCTGCTCTGCCCTCGTGACACCCCAGCTGCAGTAATGCCTCCAGGTCTGGGGCCCCAGCTCAGGAAAGCTGGCGAGATTTTGGTGAGAGGCCAGCGCAGGGCCACAGGGACAATCAGAGGGCTGGAGCGCTTCGCCTGCAAAGACAAGCTGACGGAACTCTGCCTGTCCGGTCTGCAGAACACAAAGCACCAGGGTGACCACGTTGCAGCCTGCCAGTACTTACAGGGACGTTATAAACAGGAGGAAAATCAACTTTTCACACGGGTACATAGCGACAGGACACGGCTTTAAAATAAAAGAGTTTAAGATCAGATGCCAGGGGGAGACGGACGTGAGGCACTGGCACACGATGCCCAGAGAGATTCTGGATGTCCCCCAGTACCGGAGGTGTTCCAGGCCACGCTGGATGCAGCACTGGGAAGCCTGCTCTACGGCTTGAGTCTTGCGGTTGGCAACCGCGCCCTCGGCAGTGAGTGGGAACGACATGATGACCTCCGAGGCCCCTTCCAACCCAAGCCATTCCGTGACACAAAGGGGGCCTACGGGACACCTGCCGTGGGAACCATAAACGCGGACTGCAATGGCAGGACAGGGGGCAACGGCTCGCAACTAAAAGAGAGGAGGTTCACACTAGACGTTAGCAAGAGACTTTGTCCTCTGAGGGGCGGTGGGGCACAGGAAAAGGTCACCCACAGAAACTGAGGACGCCCCAACACCGGAAGCCTCCAACGTCAGGCTGGAGGGGGCGTTGGGCAACCCGCTCTAGTGGAAGGCGGCGCTGCCCACGGAAAGGGGGTTGCTTGGAAGCGGACGGCACTTGAGGTCCCTTCCAAACCAAACCACCCTCTCGTTCTATCATCTCCTCAAGTCTCCGCATCCTCAACAGGTGCTTAATAACTACATCAGGGGGCTCGCCTCCATAAGGCTTGTGGACTCCTCCTGGACACTCAGACAAACCTTTGGCCTCCGCAACGTAAGATCCTTGCCTTACAACTATCCGCCTGCTGGTCCATTTCCTCCTTCTCACCGGATGCCACAGGAAGCAAGGAAAAGAAGAGACGACGGAGGAAGGAGACGCGGCGCCCGAGGAGCACCGCAGCCGCAGCCGCAGACAACGATTACAGCGCCTGCGCCTGGGACCACGTCCGCCTACGAGCTCGCACCTGGTTCCTGCACATCCACGACCTCGTGGGCAACACGCGCACCTAGTCCCAAGCGCACCTCCCACCCTCTTCCTAGTTATCTATTTATTCAACTATTTATGCAATTATTTCTCTATTTATTTATCTTAATATCAGACTAAAGTTCACTTCTTGTAAAAATAAATAATTAAAATAATGCTTTTACCATCTTCTTTTGCTCAACCATAAGTACTTTTTAGGGGCAACCTACATAAGGCCATTTTACTAATAATCAGCAGCCAATAGTAAAAACTACACACAAATACTCAGTTGAAGCCTCATCACACACAACCTATACCCCATGCCTTTACCACAACACCTGTTGTCTGACACAGCCATACACCAACAGCAGCTCCACCAACATGAGCATACCTCAACTCTCCCCTTTACTCACCATACAGAGACACTGCTAACAGCTGCCAAAAACCCTTTGGCCATGGCTACTCATCACCTTCTTATAACTGAATCTATTTGTTTGCATCATATTTTTCATCTGTTAAGTATTTATAGGACAGAAATTAAAAACCTTTTTTAAAGACATTTGTCAGTAGTTTTGCTATCAGAATCAATAAAGCATCACAGGAGGGAAATAAACCTCCCTTTGCCGTGTACTCACTGACCCACCCACCCACTCACCCACCTCCACAAAGGCCTCAGGAGATCCCCGGATTCTTGTCTGTGCACAGGCTCCTGCAAGCATGGACATTCTTCCATACGTTTCAGGCCAATCCACATCTCCTGTCTGCCATTAACTTGCTAAGAACATGCCAAGGCACTGAGTAGATCTGCCCAAGATCCTGCACATTCACTGAGTACTCATCTCTATCTTCTTACTTTGTTAACTGTTGTGCATATTAAATTTGGACATTTTTCCTAAAATGTTTGGACATTCATTTTATTCAAGTCACATGTTCAACAGGCATAGCAATGAAATGGTCAGGCAGGTGTGCCTCTTATACATTCCTAGCACAAGTCTTATTCTCCGCACCAACCCAAAACTTGCAGCCAGGGCAGCTTACTTTGTACTAGTGTCAGTGCTGCCCTGACTCAAAAGGAACCTCAGAGACTACCTCCCACAGCTGTGACATACATAGCTCCACTACTTATCAACCAAGCAACCCCAAAGAACAGTCTCTTTCTGAACACACAAACTTGAAAACTAGCTAGCCTGAAGACTGAAGAAATCATTCAGGAGTTGCAGCAGCCTATCCTGCAACCGCATTTATTCCCTGATGCTCAATTCGTCTAACTCCTTTACCACTTTTCAAGAACTGAAGCTTGAAGTTCCAGTTCCCATTTTCATCTCCTCTAACGTTATCTTCTGCCTTTATAGGTGAACGTAAGCTACACCATCTTTCTGACACAAATGTCCATGGAAAAATAAGGATGAAGCAGGACATAAGCATGCTCCCCCTATCAATAACAGCAGCCAGAGGCCCAGACATGGGCTTGCAGAAGCATACATCTTTGCATTACAGTAGCATAAGGTGCCCACACTGACCACAACCTTTCAAAGCCCACAGCTCTTGCACCTCCTGCTCACCTGTTCTGTGCACACTCCTAAGCCCAGGCCAATTATTGTTTGCTCTCTTGTCTCACATTTTTTACCTGCAGTGTGCCACACCTTCCCAAATTTCCAAGACTTTTTGTTTACTGTCTTACATGAACTCAAGTCACCAGAAACATGTCACCAAAGTTCTCTTTTGTAAAGAGAGCATCTATTCTAGAATCATAAATCTACTTCTAGCACTTTCTGCAGCACAGCTTTCATTACTGGTAGGTTTTTTAAAAAATTATTTTTATCCAAGCATGTTCTTGCTTGTGTCTGTTGCCTGTTTCTTTACTTCACATTCATCAAATCAATTTTTTTTTTTAAATTAATTTATTTATTTTACTTCCACAGGGTTGTCCTTGCTTTAATACTACAGCTCTTATTACCCTATTTCATTGCATGATCTCTCATTTAATACCTCCCACCTCACTCTCCATGACATATTTGCTCTATTTTCCTAGCTATCTGGTAACTTCTTTCCAGAACTGGTATCAGGTTGCCACGTCTTCATTTAGCTAGGTCTTTCCCTTTATCTCAACATGGAGTCATCCACTCACTCTGCAACTTTTCTGAGTTTCAAAAAAGTTTTACTAGAAAATAAAAATGATTTTCAGAAACCTTCATCACTGATCTCCAAATCATTGAATGTCAGTTACATCAGACCTCAATTTAATATCTTCCACTGAACAACTTCCCAACAACAAAACTGCCAGTTTTCCACCATAGTTCTGTGACAGCTATGAAGCTTCTTTTGCAGCTAAATATTAGTATTTTTTCCATGGCTTTTATTTTTCTCATTACAGGAAATATTCATCCTTTTTAACATTACCTGTTACCTTCGTTTTTGGCTTCATTTATCTTCTCTTCTGGCAATACATTTTTCTTCTAACATACCATTAATTATCAGTTATTATCCACATTTTTTTTCTTCCATCTCAATTCAGCTGTCAGACTGGGTTTTTTGAAACCATTTCTTTCTCAACTGCTTTCTGTCTTTCTTTTCTCTTAACCACAGCACTATCCTGTGTGCCTATCCTTCCTTTGATTTTCAGTATTTTTCTGGGACATCCTTGTACTCCAACTGGCTAACATCCAGATTCCACATGGAAGACCTGGCACTTTCTTGAACTTGGCCAAAACATTCACTCACTAATATCTTTCCTCTTCAGATCACTGCAGTGCGCTGCTCATTTTTTACCTTTATGCATATAGTGCACTGCTTCATCCTTTTACTTTTCTGAGTTACATGCTACCATCTTCACTTCAGTTTTCAGGGTGACATGTAACAACTCACCTTTTCACATTCTAGGCTAAGGATCCTTATGAGTTCACCTGCCCGGAATATGAGTTTCACTCATATGTCCTTTTTATTCTGGATTCAGTTAAAACAAACTTTTTCATACCTTCCCACTTGCTGCTCATGGGTTTGTTGCCATAGTGCATACTGCAAATACGCCAGATGCTAATAATCTTCACAATCTTTAACATGCACACAATGTTTATCAACATGTATACTATGCCATTACAGATGTATATTTGTTTACTATGCCACCCCTTGCTAGGAGAAATTCATACTCAGATTTCAATTAGAACTGATGAGATTTTACACTGTTGCTTCAATACAGATAAAAGAATTCTAGTCAAAGCACAGACTATGATTCTGTATTCCATATGCAGATGGACAAATGGAACAATTGCTTTATATCAGTCTACAACGTCAGGTAAAATCATTCTGGATATTAAAAAAAATTAAACACACGGATAAGCTCTTAATCAACATTATATGAAGTAATTTGTATTGTAGAGTACTCTGTACTCTGTGTTGTACAGATGATCAACACTAAAGATCACTTGTTTATAACGAAACAAACTCAAGCTATTTACTTACCATTGGCAGCCTGGATTGAAGCATCTGGAGATCATCATAACCATAAATCTGCTTGAAGACAGATAAAAATACAACATCATTGTAACACTTTTTTTCTGACATTGATGAATTCAGGGCTTTAAACAGTTTGATCTAGATTCAGCTTCAGTTAAAGGTGTAGGGCTATATGTTGCATTGTGCAATGACAGAGCACTGTAGAACTTCCATGCAAATAAAGTGGAGACTGAAATGTTTTGTGACTCTAATGTAGCTCAGCTAGGTCTGTACAAACAATTCTTAAGTTTCCTATTAATATCAGTGAACATCAATAAATATATTTCATATTTCTTCAACAATTTCATAATTCAAAATGCCTTGACATAGACAGCAGCAGGTCTGGAGGGCCCACTTGCATCAAGGTTTAAGGACAAGTACAATTAAATTGCTTACTGGGTAGGCAGGTAGAAGTCCTCCAGGTCCCACAATATACTGGTTATGTAACAAGGGTGGTACACCCTGGGGCAGGTTGGGGGGAGCTTTGCCTGTAGAACCAAAATACAGACACTTAAAGAAGACCTTCAGAAAAGAAAAGGCTTCAGCACTGAAAACAAGATAGCTCGCAAGCCCTGGAGCTGCACTAGCGTAGCTTTTAAAGAGCAGAACAACATAAGAATTTAATGCCACTTTATGAAATCGCCTCACATCCACACATCAAGGAAGGAAAAGCACAACTACTTTAGACTTAAAAAAGTCCCATCAGAGAACAGTCCAGTTTTGTCGTTCAGCTAGGCAGAACTACAGGACAGAAGTTCCCACAATCCTTAAGGTCTCTCCTGAAGATAAGAATTTAGGCAATGTTCTTGATCTGAACATAAATTCTTTCATTTTCTGCTGTCAGTATGTTCCCCTTTTGCTGCCAGCAATGGACTGGTAAGCATTAAATGCTGCCAGTGTACTTTTTGTGAGGGACTTGTAACAGCTGTGAAAAGCAAAGAGAAGACTGAGACAGTTTCAGTTGCCTCCATGAAGCAGAGGGTAAAAGAAGGCACTTTAGTCAGTCAGATGCTCCATTTACAGCGAGAATGGGAAATGAGAAATTCTCATGTATAATTTTGATTTTAATACTTAAAAATTGTTCACTTCCCTCCACAGAATTTTCCTTTAGCAAGTTAAGTTGATCACAGAAGCACCAGAGACATTGAGTATTGCTTCTACTTAAGTACAGGAAGCCTCCCCAGCTTCTCTGTCAATAGACCCTTTTTTCAATATGGCTATTGCTGTAGAAAAACCCAGACATCCATGAGATACTTCTTTCCTCCATCTATGCGGCAGTAGGGTTTTGACATATGATAATCAATCCACTACAATGTATTTTTATACTGTCTAATGAATTCAAGTCACAGAGAAGTCTGAAATTAAAGCTAATGTGAACTCACAGTCAAGAGCTAATTACAACCTGGAATACAAACCAGGTAAATCTCCTAGTTTGAAACTGCAAGTTGGAATTGCTCATGTCTATTTATAAAGCTCTCTGAGGATAGAATGTGCTATATAAATTCCACATCACACCCTAGGAAATTTGAAAAACACAAAAGCAAGCAACTTTATTTTATAAGTCAGCAAATAAAGCATGCTGAAAATGCTAGTCAAAGAGTGTGGATTTCTTAGCATAGTAGTTATTGCTGGTGAGATGCTTGACTGACAGCCCTGCAGAATGAAGTCTTCTGTCTATCCATGTGATCTGTTAATACTGCGAACCTGAAGACACTAAAGGAGCTGCCCGTGTGGTAGCAGCTGGTATAGACACACTGGTAACGCTCAGGCCAAGGCTGTTTGTAGTGTTCATACTGCTTGCCATGCTGACAACCGATGATGTGGTGCTAGTGGCTGAGGTTGAAGCAGCTGAAAAGGTTGTTGAGGGCTGGAGCGAAGTTGTGTTCTCAACACTAGTGTGCTAGAAAGAAGACAAACAGGATGAGGATCACAGAGCAAATAAACCACAGTGAAAGATGTTGAGGGAAAAAAAACAACCATCTTTTAAGTAACAATAGCACATGCAAGAGAATGTTTAATAGTAAATGCATTAACTGCATAGCAAGCAAGCAACTAAGTTGCAAGCCTGTGATTTTTAAATATTCATAGAAATTTACTCTGTGAAAGTTAAATTCAAACAGCTATAAAATCAGAAAATCCTATGACAGAATTTTAAATGTCTGTCTGTTGCTTTATTTTTTGCCCTTGAGCTGCTTAATCATTTAAGCTAGTTCTTCTATTAAATAAGCTCTTATATTCTTTTAAAAGATGGCATTTGTTTTCAGATTTCAGTACAAGGCTCTTGGGATTTCCACAATGCGCTTGTGCAATTGGAAAGATTAAAATTGCAACAACCTACAACAGACTCGATGCAGTAAACAAGCAGATTAGGTACATTACAGGAACACCTGACTGTAAGGGAGTTCATGGCTTGAACCCAGCATAATACAGTGCCTTAACTTTTAAATCTGGCCACACTTGCAAAATACAGCATCATCACCACCACACAGAAGCTGTAAGCACTCATGCACATGTCCTTCCTTCCTGTTGTGTGAATTTTCAAGTTATGCATTCACTCAGAATGAAGAACATAAACTAAAACAGGCATAAAAACACACCTTAACTGGAATAGTACAGAAGTGCTCCATCACAGAGCATGGCAGTCTGACTTATGTCCGTGCAACCTCCTTCACAGCACTGTGTTCAATAACATTTGCCTTTTCTCAAAAGTATTAAATACTTACATGACAACAATGCCATGTGATAAACTCGAACACCATTTGTCACGAGGCATTGTCATGATATATATACCACTCCATCACCTGCATTTTTCCAGTTAAATTTTTTGGTGGAGATTGCTAGTACTCCACCTTTCAGAGCAGTTTCAAACAGTTTCAGACACTTTTAAAGGTTATTTTTAATAAACTTATTGCACAAGTTCTCTCATTATTCCATTTCCCCTTCCTAGCAAAAAAAAACCATTTTCTACAGCTGTGCAATTGGAAAGCTTCTAACAGTTATTCTCGATGAAGTACAAATCACAAGTAGTAATGACAACCTTTTCACCCCTAGAGGACTAGTAGTCCTCCTATCCTGAGACAAACCTCAGTTCTGGGCATACTGGAACACAGCAAACTTTTTCTGATAATTAAGAACCTCTGGAAGTGACTATATGCTAAATATCTATTAAATACTAACAGGACTTACTGCATGTGACGTGCCTGAAGATAACACTGAGGCAGGGGAGAGGCTGCTTTGATGATTGGAAAGTGAGCTAGAAAGAAATTGCAAAGAATTAGTACAATGAATTTTTCTTAGAACAACTTACATATGTGCCTACTGCGTATACAGGGACATTTATGTACATGTCCCTACAAGCAACTTCTTCTTTAGCCAATATCAAACTACCTAATGCTTAAAAGAAGATTGTACAATGATTCAGAATAAATTACACACTCTGACTAAATAGCAAATGCTTACATCAGTTCTTTGGGGCAATGGACCACAATAACCTTGGCAGTTTCACAGACTAGTTTTGCTTCAAGAATTTTAAACTGTTCTCTACTGCAGAAAATAGGATGACACCATTTCAGGCAGCAAGAAATGGTTCAGTCCAGCATACAGTTTTAAACTATTTCCTTGCTCACTTTCCCTTTCTTGTAAGAATCCCCAATCCATCACCTGACCTACAGCAGAGACTCAGACAAGTTGCAGCACAACCAAGACAAACATATTTGGAATTCAGGCAACATCCTTTCATGGTATTTAGTGTTTGCCCAACTGTTAACAACCCTCCAACTAAAATTTCTACTAACATACACAGCTTTTCAACAAGTGCAGGGATATGGGTTGTTTGGTTTTTTTTTTCTTCTAATTTTGGTGAAGTAATTCTAGTTGGCTGACACTTATACCATTTTATTCAATATCCATTAAAAGCAAAAAAAAACAAAACACCAACAGTAGTGCAAAAGAGAATCCACCACACCCCATTTGGCCTACATATGTAAAGCTGCGTTATCCCAAGAAACTAGTTTTATTACAACAACAAATAAAGTACAAATGAGAGCAATAGAACCATGAAGGATCAGTATAGCTCCAAGATGTCATCTGCCTGAGAAAAAAGCTCAAGTAACAGGGACAAAAAAAAAAACAGAGATTGTAAATGAGCAGTGCTGCATAGACTCCAAGGAACACCAACGTCATATTTCAAATGTCTTAAGGAAATGACTTATTTTGTGGTTTTCTGTTGTAATTTTTCTGTCTCTATAGAATTATTTTAATTTAGAAAATTAATGAACTCTTAAAGGGATCATTTCACACATAAATTCAAGCATAAAGCAGACACTGTGGACAAAGTAGGAAAAGCAAAGTGGAAGAATCAATTCCACTAATTTAGATTGTGATAAATTGTGATACTGAAGCAAGATCCCACTGAAACATAAAAGTGCTAAAAAGCCATGAAAATTTGATGGCAGCACTGTTCCATCATTAACAGACAGCCCATATTGCCTATCTGCAAGCAAAAAAATCCTTTTTTCTTCTGAATCTGTCCCTAAATTATAATTCATGACAGAAAAGAGGACCTCATGGTCTGACAGCTCCTATATGCAATCACCCTTATATACACCCCTTCCTCACAACTTCACCTCCCTTCACAGTTTACCACAACTTCCACTGTACCTGCTTAGCTGGGAGAGGGAGCTGCTGGCCAAGTCATTGGGCTGAGGCAAACTGGGCAACGTTGCCACATGCTGAGATGCTGAAGGCAGAAGCGAAGTGGTCGTGGATACCACGCTAGGCAGCGAACCAGCAGAAGGTAGCGAGGGAGAAGGCTCTGTCTTAGACACTGAAACTGATGAAGTAGCTGCAATGAGTTGAAAAGAGACATTCAAACACAAATTCCAACATATCTGACTCTCAAGATGAATTCAGAAACACAATATGTAAGTATTTTACCTTTGTTTTACAGAAATCTGACTGATAGGAGCCAGGGTCAGTATTAAATGATCTGGCTACTACTATGGAATGAAGGAATGACAATACAGTGATCAGTTTCTCTCTTTAAGCTCCTCACTTAGAATACATTTCTGATTTTCACTGGTACACATGTTGTAAACCACAGTCCTCAGTTATCTCCCACTATCTGTACGCTTGCTTTTGCTCAGAAGTTCATCTGCATTTCAAAATTCTTAGCATTAAAGTTCAATCCTTTCCATAAAGAGAAGTTGCTTGCACTCTTCAAGGTACGACAAAAATCTACTCTTATCTACAGCTCCAGTTCTTCACTTCAACCTAAAGAGCACTTTTGATGTTTGGGATTTTGATTGCTGGAGCATAAAGGCACAAATAACTAATCTGGTGTACTGATTCCAGTGTGCATTGTAGTAGAATAAAAGAAGCTATAATAAAATGTCAAAGCTGACCAAAGCATTACGCACAAACAGTTGTAAATATTGTCTCACTTTATTTAATCTAGATGAGAGGTGGTTAGCATTTCTACCTATACATAGTAGAGCCTGTTTACCACAAATGTGTATTTACCATTCCTATCATAATTCCGAGCATTTTCTCTTGTCCTCTGAAGAAGGATAATGCACAGAATTAGCCAGCCATGCGCCAAAGAAAATCTCAGATGACCCATTGTGTATGAGCCCTGCCACGACCATACCCTCACACACCACCAGAGGCCACTACCGAGTGGATCACTGCTATTTCACAATGCTTTTGAAGTCACACAACCTAAAGTCTGAAAATACTTGTAAGTATTATTGTTGATACTGGCTTTCCCCCGAATGACCCAACTTAGTCTGCGGACCAGGTGCTGGGTAAACAGAAAGCAAGAGGTCTTGATCTTGGCAATAAGCACAATGATAGCTGACAAGAAGGAAATTTGTGTGACAAAAAAAAAAAAAAAAAGCACAGTTGAAGACACAACTGTATTTACCTGACACCTCCTGACAACATTTATATAAAAAGCAGTAAACACTACTTAAAACTCTAATACATTTGTGCCAGGATTCACTTCTTGAAATCAAAGTAGATCTCTCCAGTATGAGGGAGAGTATCACCATCTTTATTAAGACCTTTTAAATTATGTCTGAACATGATGTACAAGGAAACTGCAAGACAAACAGGACTGTCAGAATTATAATACTAAGATATTTAGTATTGAGTTGCTAAGAGCTTAAAAAGAATAAGACCTGGAAATTAAAGAGCAAGAGCAGGTAAAACAAGGGATGAACAGCTAACAAAATTAGAAGCAAATACAGAAAACAAAAGGCCACTGCCTTAAGTGTTAACAAAAGGCAAAACAGTCTGGACACATGAAACAGATACGTGGGAGAAAACTGATCACAGTTTATGGGCCTGAAATAGAGAAAAATAGAAGTTTCGTTGAAAGGGAGCTGACAGAGAAAAAGTTCAATTTAATGGCTACGGAATAACTACAAAAATACTAGAATTTCTCTGATCACTGCTTTCCATAGCAAAAAAACAAACCCTGCAGTGAATTTCAAAAATCAGTTGTTAATTCTGTACATGACAAAGTTTTCTATGTTCAAAGTTGTCCTACGTATTACAGTCTTTCACAAGGAAAATCTTTGGACATGTATTCTCACTTCTGTTCACTTATATTCAACCTGACACCAATGAAATACTAATAAAATTTGTTGACCCAAATCCTCAAGTTCTTTCCATGTTGTAATATAGAAAAGCTGGACTATCCAAGAAGTTTAAGGGGAAGAGAGACTAAGGAATGAAATGCTGGAATTCTAGAATATATTAATTCAAGCTGCTGCCCTCGAAAATTTTCATAAAGCAGCATATAAAGGCCAGAAGAACAACAACTACATTTTGATTATTTTAATCCCAGTAAGAAAGCTTTAGGGGTGTGTGATTTTCACATAACACATGAGAAACAATGGTGACTGCTTATCTCTTTTGTAAGCCTTAGGGATGGAGATCTACAAAGTCATCACAAAGCACAAATGAAGGAGGGAGTCTTCCAGCAACAAGGGCAGTCCCATTTTGGTTAAGGGTTGCAGGAATGAGCTGCTTATGTTTCAGCACAGAATCCCAAAGGCCACAGTGCTCACAGTGGAACCTTTTACTTCATTAATATGAAATAAACATTAAAGTTAACATTCTTCAGTGTGCTAATGAGTTCTAAGAAGAACCTGCTAAACGTGTGACTGTAATACTCAACCCTCCATGCAAATCCTGTTAAACCAGCACACATGGAAGCAAACAGGTATGGCTTAAGTTCTAAGAGAAAGAAAGCATCTTGGAAGGACTCAGACAAAAGAAATGCAGGGAAAATGAGGACTGCAGAAAATTAAGAGATAGGATGCTGAGCTCCACCAAGATGGAGGCGCTCTCTTGGTAATCACTGAGCCTCATCTCTTGGCAAAGAACAGACGGGATACCTTGTGTTTTGCTAGCTCTATTATCATACATTAGTGCTACTACAGCTACAGCATTTATCAACAGCAATCCTAATATGTTATGCCTGTCACTTCAATAAGTCATCTGTTCTTTTTTAAAGAAACTATGAAACTGTCCAGTGAAAGCCCTTGTCTGAGGGCGGCTGGCATGAAAAAAATCAAAACTATACTATCAAAGAGACAAGGAGTGTTACAAGTAAAATATCACCTCTCAAGAAAGAAAGAATGGGCCAAGATGAAAAGAAGTGTATCAAAGCACACTGTGTTACTGTTGGTCTACTGCAAGACTGTAAGTCACCCAGCAGAGGGAGTGTGCTGGTCACTGTTATTACCTACAGGATTGCAATTGAACAATCAAGCACTATGCTTCACAAGAATGTGACTGTTTCTTTTACTTATGCAAACTAAATGCTATGCTAGTTGCAGCTTTCCAAATAAAAATTGATTAAAAGTTAAGAAATTGTATATTAAATAGCTTCAGAAATTTTTTTAAAGGAGAAAAAGCAGTAAAGCAGCTTTTCTAATGCTTAATACTGCTCAGTGTTGCACAGTGGGTATAGATTCAGAGTTGCTTCCATGTTTCATTCTTCCAATAAGCAAGCAGTACATCCTGTGCAAGTACAATCAATTCCGATCGATTAGTCAAAAATTAAGCAGGGAGAACTATTGAAAGCCTTCAACCAGATGTCACTGCTAAAATTGCATGCATACCAAATTTCAAGGAAAGATTAGAAAAAGAGTCCTGTTAGCAACCATGTTCTGTAAACTTACTGTCAAGAGTTGCCTGTGTTCTAACACCACTGTGCCCGTTCTGTAAACAAAGGAGAATGAACACATTATCTTAGAAGTATATTACACTTTTAGAATTAACCACACATGTAACATGCTTCATGCAGAATTCTATATTCATTCTAAATCAAAGGACAAGGAAGAAAACTAGCCTTTTACTCCTTTAACAAAACCACATAAGTTCTCAAGTGCAAAGTGTCCTGAGCATACATAATCCCATACATAGCCCATACTACACACATCGGCAGGAGACTTTCCCATGTACTGTATGTTACAAACTTCAGGTTCACATCAACATGAAAGAAAGAATTGCATTAACATATAGGAAATGGTTGTGCTTTTGATCTAATGCAACTCACAATTTTAACTATCCAAGTTACACAGAGACGCCAATTTTTTTCCATTGAAAGATAAGACTTGAGAAGCACCAGTTGCTTTTTGGATAACGCTGGAGTACAGAAGTGGATAGTCTATGCTTGATCCTCACCAGTACATACGAGCTAGTGCAGAAGACAAGTGTGACTGAGCCATTACATAACAAAGGCCAGAAGTAAACAAACTTACAAACACTCACAATTTCCTTAAATATTTAATAAATTCTCTTAAAACAAACTTACAAGAGCACCTACTCTCTTTATATGGAATAAGCATCTCCCAAGGGAGATCCTCTCTGTCTTAAGTGAGATCTCATCCCAGGTGTTTTAAAATAAAAATAAAACAGTATTAATTCCTAATGGTGTCTAAATACAACAGAAGAATAATGCTGGAGGGACCACGAACAGTTTGAGATCTATTGGCTAGGCTCCTTAAGATTCAAAAATTGATCTTTGGATAGGAACTGTCAGGTAAAAGAAAAACACCATGAATACTATATACACAGAGAGTCTCCTCTTTAAAACCTAAGCCTCAGGGAAGGATACTTAACTAGAATGTTAAGTATTACCAAATAAAAGGATCAAACACCAATTTAGGATGCCAAGACCCACAAAACCAGAAGCATACACATTTTAAGTACAGCATAGCCAAATAAAGGCTACACAATAGGAAAAGAAAACACAGGTAACACAGCAGGTACTGGGAATCAAAGAAGCCACTTGGATTGGTTAGGAGTAGTAACACAGCAGGGTAATAAAAGTCTAAGAGGTATGAGAATATTTCACCTTTTTCAAAAGCTTTTTTCTGAAATTCACTCACCGTAACTGCAACTGGAGTTGGATCTGATGGAGCCATGGAACTTTGGTACGGTATCCTACTATGCACAGAAGGCTGGTCATAGGAGGAAGTTGTTGTTACTGGGCTAGTGCTCTGGGATGAGCAGGTCAGACTGGAAGAGGTGATGGCAGAGGTTGTGTAGGTGGACTCCTGTACTGGATTGGATATTGGCAAAGAGGTATTCAAAGGATCACTGGAAAAAGTAAAAATTATTTACCAATATGGCAAATTAGATCCCAAACACCTTCATGAAAATATGAACTCCTACACAGGAACTGATAAAAATACAGGAGCTGATAAAAATACTTAAGTAAAATATGTAGTCAAATCCCCATTTTTTTTATATTAAAAAATCATCAATAAGTATATTCTTTCTCTGGTCCCCAGTAATCACTTCTCCAAAAACAACAGTTGGATTAACCACCATTCACCCTCCTCCTACCAGACCAACCAAAACAAGAATCGATACAAGCAATTTACAGTCATTTTCCTCCCTCTCAAATGATAAGCAATGATCATCTTTCTCTCTTAAAAAATTAGATCCACAAAGTCTGGTATATAATGCGAAACACTAAACCTCTTTTGGCAATAGTATTATAACACTTGTAGTAACTATCTAACAGAATTAACTAAGAGAAAAGAAAAAAATACTTCAAAACATGCACCATGTTTTATTTTCCAAATAGCTTAATGCATGTATAGAACTAGAAATAAATGTGAAGGTCCATTTTTCACTAGTGTTCCTGAATAAACTTCAGGAAGTTTTTTGTTTTTTGTTTTTTGTTTTTTTTACCAATGCCACTTTTTGAACGAGTAAGGAAGAAATAAATGAATTATTGATATATTTGTACTTATTATCAATGCTAGCATTTCAATAAAAGCTTCTGCATACTGAAAGTCTGGATACTTTCATGATTCTGTAGGAGCATCATATTCACAATCTGGTACACAAAGATGGTACCATGCTCAACTCTCTTTGATCCAATACAGAAAAAATTGCACTGTGAGGAAAAACCCTCCAGCAAATTTGAAAATCTGCTCAATCAAATATGAAACAGTTATATTAAGGCTAACTTGCTTTAAGATTATTTACACTCATGTCACCTCCAGCTTCAAATTAACCCATCTGGAAGATTTTGGCTGCTATTATTCAAGAGATTTCTCTTTCAACACAGTATCCACAGAAAAGAAATCCTTATAAGCCACCATATTTTCCCCTTCTATTAGATGGCAATTGTGTCTTGACATGTTTTGCACAAATTTGATCCTTAAAGAGGATGTTTAAGAAGGCGCATGGGGAACTTGCACATACTTTACAGATTTTGTGTACAAGCTATTGTTGGTTGTCTGGCTGGCATTCTCGCTGCTTGAAGCTGATCCAAACTCTGGGAGTGCAGGCTCTGATCCAAACTCCAAAGCTCCAAACTGAACATTTAACCCTGTCACATCAGCTGACCCAGGCATCTCCACTGCAGAGGCAGGAATCTTAAAAGGGGTAAAAAAAAACACAAAACAAAAAAAAACAAAACAAAACAAAAAAACAAATAAAAGGTTGTGGCTTGTTTTTTATCTACATTAACTCCTTTAACTACAGGCTTCTTCAATTATCAACTCAATTGTTGCTGTCAACTACATGTGTCACAACCCTCCAGTTTACATCACATAATTTGATTCTTGTAACCTCAAATTCACTTACTGATTCTGTGCATCAACCTGCAGCTGAAGCCTAAGCCATGCTGCTTTGTGAAATGCAAGTATCGTACACATCCACCCTCCCCTATCCAACATTTGCCTTTTTGCCACTTAAGTCAATCCAAAATCACTCAGCAGCAGTCATTTTCCACACAGTGCAATCAGATATGTGCTTGGGAAAGACAACATCATTGTATTTTGGACTGTCGAGCTATTTGCTTAGAAATCCCTACTTCATAAACAGGAAGCGATGGTCTTTGCTTCCCTTCTCCCTAGAAACTCATATGTGTTTACTAAGAATTGGGTGCCAACGAATCACCCACCTTGGATGCTGGAGTTATTCTCCGCTTTGGTGGTTTTATCTGTTTGTGATGGGTTTGATGGGCTGTCACTGTCTGGTTATCCATAGACATAGTGGGGAGCTGTAACATCTTGCTGACAGCTGTGGAGGTGTCTACCGGCGAGGGCTCTCGGAGTTTTACCTGGGAGGAGAAGGACTCCAACCCAGGAGGAGGTACAGGGACTGCCTGTGTTTGTTGTTGCTGTCGTTGAGTCAGCTGGCTCAGAATTGGGGATGGTTCCGGCTGGGATTTAAAGTCTGGTCAGTTTGGGAAGAGAAATCAAAATTAAGGCATTAAACTTTGCTCTTCATGCTACTGCCCTTTAGCAAAAAATTGTGTTTCCTGACACACCTGACAGCTACTGCTGCAAGTCTCTTCCAGAAATCATTACACAAGCTCTTCATGGAACATTACCATTGCAATAATAAGGCCAATATATTAGGTTCACTACCTTAAATAACCGGCTTTTGTGAAGTATTTTGTTTTATTTAAAAGTAAGGAATTAAACCCATTTGTACAGTTTCATAACGATGTGCAGTAGGTAACAAAAATTTTACGCATTATTTTAGTCAAATGTGGCATGTTTCACTGCAAGTAGTTGTGCAAATAAACTCTGATAACTTTCAAGGAGTTTGGACTTGCAACTCAGACTTACTATGAGTTACAATTTCCTGCTTTACAAAGAAGATTTTCAGCACAAACCAGCACAAACAGGGACTAATCTATGATCTGAGTATGGCTGAAAGTCAGAGACACTGGACATCTACAGGCTTTTTTTTTTTTTCCAAGTCTTCCTCTTGCATAATTTTCAGATGCTGAAAGCCAAGGAACAGACTGTAGCACTAGCTAAGAACTGTAAGAGACCCACAGCACTCAATCTGAAGGGGCTCTTTTATTCAGTTGCTTTCTAATGCATTTTACCAACTTGAAATGTACAGTAAAACAAATATTTTTATAGAATTGCTGCATGCCAAAAATTATGTCACTAAACTGGCTGCTTATCTATTTGCAAACATGCACAGACACACACAAGATAGCTACAAGGCACTCTTTACAGCAAGAACACCGCTATGAACTGTACAAGTTCCTGTCACAGTCACTACTGTTTCTGCCAATCATACTTAAATGAAAAATCCATACAATTACAAACAGACAAAATGGTTAACTTGCATCATTTTCAGCACATGCAGACTTCACAAGGGAAGAACGGTGAGAAGATACACACTATAAAGACATTATGCAGTACTCATTCAAAATTCATGTAATGGTTAGAAGAGAAAATAGGGAAAAGGCAACAAAATATGGTAAAATCTTGTATTCAGCTAGAAGCAGCACAGGCAAAAAGACAAAAGACTTATTCTCCTGGAACTGCTGAGAAACTAAGTCACATCAGAGTTCCACTTAAATAGTCAGGCACACTAAATTGAAGATGTAACCACATGAAGGCTCCACACCTTCTGAAGACTAACACGTTCTACACATAGCCTTATGCCAACCAAAACAGAGTTTGTAATGTATTTTTAACAACTATCACCAGCAGACAAGCTTCCCTAAAATTTTATGAGTTATATTGCTAGCATTGTTTTTAAAGCAAAAAAGCCTTTCATCAAGGCAATTTTCAGCTGACATCAGCCTAAAGAAATTTTACAGACTAATAGAGAAAGAGAGGTTATGTTAAAGCACTTACCAAACTGACTAAGGACTGAGGACTGAGTAATGGGCACTTTTAGATCCCAAGATGATGGGGCAGTTGTAGTAGTGGTGGTAGAGCTACTATTGTTTTGTTGAGAAGTAAATTGGCCCAAACCTGGAGATTTCAACTGGTCCAAGATTTGGGATCCAGTCGAGTTCGCCAACTTGGAAGATCCAAGATCTCCAAAGCCAGAACAAAGAACTGCAGACTGACAAAAAATAAGGGAACACAAAATAAAAAAATTAAAACAAAGGCAGGGAGAAATAGAGTTAAGTATTTTATTAATCATTGGAATATAATCATCAAGTCAGTGCCAACAGCTGCTATTTGGCAACAAGTAAAACTTCCTCAGCTCCAGATTGCTAATTTACAACAAGTGAAAAATTCAGCAGTTGTAGCACATGCCTGGACTCTGTTATTATTGATACTCAGGCTGTAATTTCTTGAACTCACGCATTTCAAAAAGACATTTGATTACTAATAGCTGAATAGATTTTCAAAGAATACACCAGCCCAATTTTAGACTCTAAAATTGTTGAAGAAGGGAGGTCTTACTCATATCACTCCAGAAAACTCAGAAATACTCATGTTTCCTCACACAGCAGTCAGATATGTGCTTGGAAGTATCACATCACAGTTTCCTGGCATAGAGCTCTTCATTATAAATAAATGATTTTGTTCTGAGTCAACATGTAAGATGCACCTTTTTGTATTCAAAAGTTAATATAAGAACTTAATGTATACCAAGGAACAACCACTCAGCAAATACAAGGAAAGGACTGTTTGTATATGAGAAAGGATATTCTCAATCCCATTTCTGTAGCATTTATAAGCTGAATTTTACAAATAATGAAGCATTTCATGAAATGACCATTACTGGAAACATTGCTTAACTTGTAATATTTGCTAACGAAGAATATTTAGAAAGCATAAGGTAATTTTACCAGACTCTGAGGGGAATAGGAGTTTACAGCACTGGAACTGCCAGCTCCTGATGCCATCTGGTTGCTGTGCTGAGAATTTGTGAAGACTAGAGCTTGGCCAAAGGTCTGCTGCTGAGAAGCCTCAAATGAGTTGCCTTCTGTCTCTTGAGTAGAAGTCATTGGCTTTTGAAGCAACGTCACCATATCAATGCTGTAAGGAAAAGTAAAGTTTGGTTAGAATAAACATGCTGAAACCGAAGAAAATACTAATGGTATTAGATAAAGCTTCTGTACCAGCCTAACACCTTCTGCTAACAACAGCCTTTAAGAATACTGTATGTCTGTCACAGAAAAATCCTCCATAGAAAGAGGAAGAAGAGAGTAAAATAAAATTCTACTAGCTGAGGCATTTACCATAGTTAGAATCTAGCTCATCTTTGCACTCCTCTTGAAGATTCTCAACTTTTGCATCATCACATAACATATATGATAAACACAGCCACATAACTGGAGACAAGTTACAAAAGACACACCACTTTTGAATGGATCCTGCCTTCCATCACATTTTATGTATCAATTATCTGCATTGCATACCACACTATCCCTCTAAAAAGAGCAAGGGATCAAAGTTCTAACCTCTATATAAGATGGGTTTGAGGATAGTAAAGTCATAAATACAGAAACTGAGTGAAAGTGTGGTGAGACTGAAGTAACAAGAACATAAATAAAAAGCATAAAACAAGAGTATAACGAGCATAAATAAAAGTTTCTAGCAGGCACATATCCAAAATCACCCTACAGCATATACATAAGCAGGACAAGAATCATGTTTTCTTGTACTTAACTTATTAACCTCTACAGAAGTTTATCCATAAAAAGTAAAGCATTTGAGCATTCGAGTAAGAAACATACTCCCAAAGTTCTGACTGAAGTTTATCCTAAACACACTAAGTTCAGGCTGATGAGTTGCTTCTGTCACTTCTATTCTATAGATTTCTAAATGCCCGAACATTCATTTTAATAAGTTAAAAAAAAAAATTACCAAACTTAAATTTATAAACTAAAATATTTTCTAGCATAACTTGAGGGAAATTCACTGGAATAATATTCATATCAGAACAGTGAACATGCAAGCATACTACCCTTAAGAGGCAAAGAAACATAAGACCTAGACCAACTGATGCTACACCTTCTCCAGGTTATATATCCATGTTAAGACCTTCTAGCTAACTAAAGCTCTTCTGTGAAAATATTTGTCAAAATGCTGCATTCTGAGCACTTTCTGAATCTAGAGGGGGAGGATTCCTATATTCTGGAAAGCAAAGCCAGTGCCTCCCTTTAAACAGCAGAAAATTCTTCCAAGTTACTTCTATTTCTGCCTGTAACTAGTCTCTGTGCAAAAGACAGTCTTCTAAGTATTATCCTCGTGGATTTGATAGATTCAGCTCCAAAACCATAGTAAACTACAGGTAACACAGGAACCCACGAAAGCAACTACCTGCAAGCAAGAGTTTTGCATTTAGCTTAACCACATTTTGATGGGGGCTGTCCTCACATTATTTCAAGCCATCATTTGCTTTAGATGCTACAGTCTTACACTGATTCACCAAGAGCTTTTTAGGACATAGGAAAAACATGCAAGAACTTACCTTTGCCCAGGAGTCACATGATTCTCAGTTGGAATGGAAGAAGCAGTAAAGACTTTCGTTTCAGAAAGCTAAAAAAAGATTTTTTTTTAAAAGAGTATTATAATCACACACACATTCACATTTCACTTTAGCAGCATTTGAAGAAAGTCTGTCTTGGTCACGTAACTCCTGATAAAAATAAATGCCAAACAACTGTTACAGCCAGGTATGCTGCAGCTCTAGCAGACAAAAATAGTCAAATTTCTGCAAAGACTTTTCTGCAGAATCAAGAATCAATTTTACTAACATGTTAGGAAATTTCATCTCGTAAGCATACGCAGTGATATACCTACCAACTTACACTAATTTGGGCACTAACAACTGAAAAGCATAATAAGTAGAAATTAATGTGACAGCTGGTATATCGTAAGCATAAAAATACCCCAGGTAGATACAATTTAAGATTCCACAATACAGCTCTTATAAATCCTGCTGCAGAATTTTAGCACACAGCACTGTTTCCACGTACATGTTCCCATTTCATCTACTCTGTTATATATTTCAGCTCATACTAGTAGTGGAGGCAGATCTACACTTGAATGCATATAGCAAGCCAGCACTGAAGGTTCCTTCTTGGCAGTTTTGCTAAGGAAAGCAATGTTGTCTTAAACTGATTGCTCTACAAGCATGTCCTGGAAAACCAAGTGTTTCTACAAGTAATACAACCAGTTCCTCCATCCTCAGCAGAAGCCTTTGCTGTTTTCATTACTTCTACAACAAAGACACTTAGCAGGTAGCAGGGAAGGGGAAGGGCTGGTTAGTTGGCATTCTAGGGGATTAAAAGGGTCCTGTTTTCTTTTTTCGAGAGTTTTGGTTTTTATAAAAAAAAAAAAAAATAGCATGATAGCTGTACTTTGTAAAGCTAACTCATGTCTATTGGCAGGAATGGTAACAAGCAGAACATCTTAAACCAATACAGATTAGGTTTAACGAAATAAAAAATATGTTTATATAATCATTCTATTTTAAATTAAATTGGCACAGAATCACGTTTAACTATTCAAGCATAACCTCACTTTATACCCAAAGAATAACTGACCTAGTCAAAAAGCTTCAGGAATCCCCTTAGAAAGTGACATTTGAGTAGAGCTCAAAGGATATTACACATTCTTAGTTCTGTATATTGCCATTAGTCCAATTTAAAGGGCAACACAGGTACCAACCTTTTTCACCTGCCCTCACACGGAGAGCTCTACTGGAAGCAAGCATCTCCATACCTGTGTCCATCTGATTCACATTCTCCTAAAAAAAACCACTCCTGATTTCATAAGGACAAAGTAGGGCTGGGTGGGAGCTATCACAAACCTCTCAGAAACAGCATCCAAACGTTCCACGCGCTGCAGGCACACACCTACCACGCAGTGTCATGATAAAAAAAATAATCTCACAGATCCTCCTTCATTTCCTTCCAGTCAATAAGATATATTCTACCCCAACCTTTCTAAAACATATTTCAAACCTATCCTACACATAAAACTACCAGCCTGCAAACCTTTGTACTACCCAAGACTAACAGGGAACTTTCAAGGTCATTAAGAGGCTATTTCTCTACTGTGCAGCCTTTTCCCTGCTGCAAATGTGATTTTAGAACATGTACTGCACTTTCTACAGTGTTATGAGATTCCGATATCTTATGGCATAAGGAGGTCAGGTAATGGCAAAGCAGCAGCCTACGACCCGCAACCTGTTTATATTAGATACTGAATTCTTTGCAGTGTCAAAACCTTCTCATGTCCATAGAACCCAGGATAAGACCAACTGTAGCCATAACACTGATGAATCCTGAAAACTAAGCAAACTAAGGAGCCATTCACAGAGTATAAGGGAGGAAATGTTCCCTACAAGTAAACTGCCATGCAAAACAACTACCAAGTCTCCAGTTACCAGTTCTACATTTAATTTTATCCTGCACAGTGTCCCTGTAGCAAACTAACTGCCACATACTTAAATCAGGCAATTAATTCTGAAGTCTGTAGGAATAATGGCATTTGTTGAAATACATATTTTCTGCAGCAGTTTCAAAAGGTTGATTACACAGATGTATTTAACAGTTACTAGAGGTAGTATAATTAACTAAATATTTATGCTCAACATACATCAAACTTAAAAATCCTTCAGCAAGGCAAAGAAACTTCTTAGAACAGAATTCAGGGTCATTAATTATTTACATACGGCAACTTCACCAGGGCATTCCCTCCATCCTTACTGAAACGTTTGTGCTTTTCTGTCTTTGTTGCTATGATAAACCCATTCTTCAGTCATCAAGCAGACAACATATTTAAGAATTAACTAAGCACCTCCTATGGACAGTTGATACGCAACAGGAACAAGAAAACACACTTGAGCACCTCCATGAAAACCCAATCTCTACAAACCAGAAATAATTAAATCTCATTACTGTTTTGTACTGAAGTTAGAGAAGTTAAACAAGTTCTTGTTCTGCTTTCTAGGAAAAGAAACTAACACTAAAAAGCAAAGACAAACCAACCAGTCTATTTTGAAGTGTTGATGTTTCAAATCAAAGCAAAGAGTGCTGATATGGTGCAGAAAAGCATTGTCTCTTTAAAGATATTTGTACATTCTTCCTCTTCTGATTGTTTCTATAATTAAGTTACATACTTTGGCCAGGAGAATATGACCATAAATTTAAGAGGAAACCAGAGCTGTCCACAATACCTCAAAATTTGTCTCATACTTCACACTGTCATGTCCTGAATGCCTCATCAACAAAACAGAATCTCCTGCTTTCATTGCAAGCAGTTTCCTTGCTACTTAAGATCATGTTGACAACCTACTTACTCATTACTTTGCCAAAATTAAATACCCAACAGGATTATTAGATCACAAAAATTTAATCCTACTCATGTCACACAACACTGAGTTTCACTCAGGTGTTCATATACTGAACACACAACTTAAACCTAACTAGAGAACAGAAATCTGAACAAAAATATTCTTCAGAAAAGTACCTGGTCTTTTTCTGCAGACAGCATGCCCCATCAGCATCCTTGACTGTTTCAGTCATTAGTCACACTGCTAGAACTATTTAATTATACATTTAACTGTGCAGCTCCATTTTCCATTCAAAGATTCATACTATGCCTTTTCTGCTAGATTATAGGAACCAATACAAGCTAATCAAGTAACTTTTTTAGATTCCGTAAACTACGCCACATAAATTTAAAAATCTCAATTTAACACCTTTTTTATTCTTTAATTTTCAGCTGCTTTGCACAGTTTCTGCCTTTTAAAAGCAATAAGCAAGTGAATGCAGTACTTCAAAATCAAGTTCTGAGGAGTCCACACACAGAAATAAAAACCAAGAATGATTAAGAGACCAGGAAGAGTGCCTGCAGGCAAAAAAGACTACAGGAGTGGGTTTGTTTTTTTTCTGCAACAGAATTGCCTGTAACAAATCATAATATGCTGCTTTCCAGAAAACAGCCCTCGATTCTGGACATATTCCTAGAATTCTTCATTCCTGTTTATTTATTTATACTCCAATTCATTTATACATTACTATGTTCACTTTTGGACCCCTCACTACAAGAAAGACATCGAGGCCCTGTAGTGCGTCCAGAAAAAGGCAAGAAGCTGTGAGGGGTCTGGAGCACAAAGTTTATAGGGAATGGCTAAGGGAACTAGAGTTGTTCAGTCTGGAGGAGGCTCAGGGGAGACTTCGTGGCTCTCTGGAACTCCCTGAAGGGAAGTTTTGCAGGGGTGGGGGTCAGCCTCTTCTTGAATGTAAGACATAGGGATGGCTTCAAGTTGCACCAGGGGAGATTCAGGCTGGGTATTAGGAAACACCACTTCTCTGCAAGAGTGGTCAGGTGCTGGAATGGGCTGCTCAGGGAGCTGGCGGAATCAGCATCCCCAGAAGTGTTCAAGAAGCATTCAGATATTATATTTAGGAAGTATTACTTTTCAGAAAGGGTGGTCAGGCACTGGAATGGACTGCCCAGGGAGGTGGTGGAGTCACCGACCCTGGGGGTGTTCAAGGAAAGGCTGGATGTTATGTTGAGGGACATGGTTTAGTGGGAGCTATTGGGAATAGGTGAACGGTTGGACTGGGTGATCTTTTAGGTCTTTTCCAACCTTGGTGATTCTATGATTCTATATTAAGAGCCATGGTTTTGTGGGGGAATACTGGTGGCAGGTAGATGGTTGGATGGGATCATCTTGGAGGTTGTTTCCAACCTTGGTGATTCCGTGATTCTATTTCTATTTTTTTAAAATGATGAAGTAGGTGAAGCACTCGGCTACTTAGCTATACTAAAACATTTTTAATTTGAGCAGGTCAAGCGTACGAACTTCTCCCCATGACAGGCCCACTTTAATTGACTAATCTAATAAACTTAAAATTTCCCAAACATATTTATAGTGATTTTTATTGTTCACTTCCAAAGTGAAGCTGGGATCTGACCTACAACTGGGTTCCTCTGTGGCTGAAACAGTCAAGGAAGCTGATGGTTCTCCCAGGAATCGTCCACATTCAGTTCAGATACTGCTGCAAAAGACCATTTGCCAAAACTGGCAGGACAGATATAATTACTAGATACTACTAGATGGCTTTTCTGACATCCCGGAATTATTTCTTTTAGAAACAAAAGTCATAAAATCAAATCTCCTTTAAGGAGATACTTCATCTTCATAGTTCACTCATAATTTACTTAAAGATCAAGATTAGCTTTATTTGAAATAGACTTTTCATAAAAGAACAATCAAAAAATCATAGGTAAATACAACATAAATAGCACAATCTGTATTCTTCCCTTTTTTTCTTTCTTTCTTTTTTCTTTTTTTTAAACACCAGCACCCTCTATGTTTCCCCATTTGATTGCAGACTTATTCTGAGCACCATCACATGAATAATTTTCCTAGGTTACAGTGACTTTTCCAGCATTCCAAAATTAATGAAAATTAACAACAGGCTAGAGATTTCATCTGCAGTCCTTCCAAAAGTCAAACTACTCAGATGTAATAACAAATAAACATCTATCCCTAGGGAGCACTGCTCAGTGTTTCTCCTGTACTACAAATGCTGCACTGTACCAGCACCAAATAAGGTAGAGAAACAAAGCCAGAAATTTTCACTATCCTTAATCCACCACCAGCATATATAGGAGAGAAAGGGAACAGACTATAAAAAACAAGAACACAACATTTGATAGCAGTAACTGATTCAAAGAAGGTAGAACTGGTAATGTTTGTTGTTTTTTTTTAACTCCTCTAGTTTTCCTCAAAAAACACAGCAGGGAGTAAGGAGTTCTATTTGTTAACAACCTGCTCACTCATTCCCAGGGATAATACCGGCACAACACACAATGTAAGGAAGAAAATGGAATTCGCTCAAAAATAATTTTGAGTTAATTGATAGAAGAATCTTCCACAGAAGATGAAAAATGAATTAAACAGTAAGATCTTATTTCTTGCTACCTCATTTGTTTTTTGAGCTGCCTTGGCTTTAATACAATACACTGCAACTCATAATAACAAATGTTACATGACAAATACGCCAAATATTTTTCTGACATGAAGAAGTGTCTCTTACCTACTAAAGAACAAAGACTGCTACAGTACTTCATTGCTACAGTGCACAGCATGATGAAACAATGTAAACGAAGAAATTAAATGCTAACTTCAACACATCACTGTGTCCTCTCTTCATATTATGAACATGAGGATAACTAATTGGAATAATTATGCACATTTCAAGCAAAAAGAATCAACGAGTCTAAACTTTACTACAAAGTAAACTTCGGCACTTAATTATAAAAAGACTTGTGATAGTATGGCTTTTAAATTCCTACACAACATTAGGTGGAAATATGCAGGATAATATCCATCACCATTATGAGTTAAAGAACTATAGTTAACTAATCCTATATTTATTATTTAAAATTTATTATCCATACATAGGCTTTCAAGCAAAATAAAATATTTCTTGAATCAATTTTATGTAAGATTAAAGCTCATCTAAATATATAGTCTTTTAAAACAGAATTACAGCAGGCAACGTAAGAAGCGTCACGGCATAAGCACAAGAAAATTAATCACATTTAGTTTTGAAAACAATGCAGAGACTCTGAAAAGGTAAATAATGAAAGCTATCTATCTGAGAAGATACACTTACATCCTCATTCCAGTCTTCTGCAGTCCATTCTTCTATTGAATTTTTCCATGCACCTATTATAATTTAGGGAAGGAAAAAAAAAGCAGTTACAATCTGCAAGTACAATTGCATATATCAAACCTTCTGCATTACAAATGATCCTATTTTGATATTAGTTGAAACACAAAGTGAAGAGATGTTGGTTGGAAACATGAGAAGCCACAGAAAATTGGTCTGCAGATTTAAAAATCTGGGAGGTGTTTGGGGTTTTCTCTGTTTCTTTTATACTTCAGTGTATGATTTCAGGAAACTCCTGGCAACTGTGGTAGTGGACAGTTTGCACAAATGCATTTCTGCAACCGGTAATAAAATACTAAATATTGGCAAGAACTTCTTCCTACACCTGTCCCAGGTGACAAGGAGAGGTTACTCAGCCCCTGCATGAGTTCTCCCAGCTCCATACACAATTCCATACAACCAAAATACAACCAGAGCACCTGCTCTAACATTCATAATCCTATTTTTGACAAACTCAAATTAAAAACTCAAGCTTTTTTTTTTTTTTTTAATCTTAAAACACATAAAGACATAATGGCAGCAGAAAAGTCACTAAGCTTCCACCACAGCTGCAAAACATTTCTTCCCAACAGAATTTTGGCAAACATCAGAGCACAGTGCCAATCTGCAGCATGCAGCAAACGTCAAACTAAACTGAGTGACCCTGTGGGTTTAGAAACCTACTCCCTCCCCTAGGAAACAGCAGATCCAGACATGCAGGAGCAATGAACGGACTGAACGCCTTGCCCACCAATAAGAGCACAGAGAGAAGGAAATCAACAGTTTGAGCCTTCACTCCAGCTGTACACTCACAAGCCAGCAAAACACAGTGGTAAAGTTTCTGGTACCATCACCTCTAAACATGCATAAAAGAATCTGTACCTTAATTGCATGTAAAACTAAGAACCCTTTGAGATAAATTCTTTCCAGAACAAAGCCCCTTGAAGACAGCATCAAACCCCACTTACACTAATGCAACCACTCTCTATATCAGCACAGTTTTTGCTAGGCTTTGAGCAAGCAGCAGTCAGGCCAGAGCAGGGCAGAGTGGCACCAATCCCATGTCAGGAGCAGGCCAATCACAGGGAGTTACAGACAGGTCGAGAAGGAAGGGATTTTATATCCATGAATCCAAAATTATTTGGCAGGTTCTGAACAAGGTAACATCCGCTCTGTGCTGGTTCAGTGAAGCAATATAAGGTTGCCTGAAACACCTCCTGCTCTTCTTTTCTCTGATCGGCTAATAAGGTGTTTGGTTTTTTTTCCTCCCTGTAAAATACTGATGCTGACTTGAATAATAACTTATGATTATAGGATAGCACATCAAAATTACAATACCTCAAATTACTAGACCAACTCACATTTCCACAAAAATCCTGGAAAGTAGACAAAGCCCTTCAAGCAATACTCTTTAGAGAAAGCTGGGAGTTCTCCCTTCTCTCAACTACAACATGGTATCTTTGATGTTCATCTTCTTTAAACAGATTCATCCCTATTTTTGTCCTTCCTGTATTTATCTCACATTGGACAGAGCAAGACTGACCTCTGCAGAAGATGAACACTGCACTACTGCCAGAAATCCAACAGTGCAGCTCGGTCAAACAAAACAAACAAACAAAAGCCTTGGCAGAGCATACTCCACCCCTGTGTTACCCTCACACACCTCAGAGAGATAGGAGCTGTTTGGAACAATACCTGAGATGTTTCCCAAACGTTCCACACTGCTTCTGGTGATGATGCACTTCTGTGCATTTACTCTACTCAAATATTTGACATAACCCTCATTATTTTATCAGTTCTCCTTGGCCAAGTTTGTTACTGTCACATATTAACATTCTATGTTCCAAAGTCAACCTGTCAGCCTCTATTTACCGTTGTTCCCTGAATTTAATCCATACTGTTAACAGTTTCATGGTATGGACAGGATTCTATTCACAAGTGTATCAACTGTTTTTTTGTTCATAATATACCTTGGCAAGACTGTAAATCCATATATTCTCTTCATAACCTTTACCCCCGTGCTTTGCAAAGCATTTCTATGTAACAGTTCAGTTTTCCACTGAAATTACGCTTTATTTTCAAAGAACCTTGTCAGATCAACTTCAACTTACACTTCCAACCATGACCACTTCCTGTTTACTGCTGCAATAAGTGCAATTACAGAAAGCTGTAAAGCCAAGAAGTATAGTTTTGGTACAATTTCAACTGTTTTTTTCCAATCCCTCACTTCCTATCGCTTTTTCTCCTTCATCGAATTACCAGCCAAACACATGTACTGGCACCCAGATTATTTTATCTAGGTTTATCTCAAACTTCTATACAAATCCTTTTCTTCTCCATTGCTTCCACATTCTAGAATGACCTGAAGGATTCCTTAAAATGTTCCTCCTGACTTCTACTGCAGTCCTACATAAACAACTTCCTCGCAATTTTCAATTCCTTTCTATCCCATGGACAGATGGTTATTTTAAGAAGTTGTAAAGCTAATCATGCCCAGAGTAGGATAACTAGAACTAGATCTTGTAAGACCCTTTCAACCAAAACCATTATATGATCAGTAAGCCACCAGGGTGGAATTTTATAATCTACTTTGAGAAGTGAGCACCTTCATCCCGATTTATTTTTAAGCGTTGATGCTATTTGTTACTGGAGATCTCTCATTGCCTTGTTTATCAGTAAAAGAAAGAGAACAAAACCTCAGCATGCAATTAGGGAAACATAAAACTGTTCTAGTACACTCCCTTTTGGAAGAGCATCAGCCATTTTGTTTCCTTCCACCTGTTCCTTCTCTTTGCTTCAACTGCTACATTATTAAAAACTAGGATGCTGAATACTTCCAACACAATTACAAGAAAATGTTATAAACCATTAAGATTCAAACTTTACTCTCTTCCTATTTCAACCACAAGCATTAAGTTTTAGATCCAGAGAACCAACTAGCCTTTCTACAAATCTACATAAAAATGCCTACAGAAAAACCTCTCAGGCTGCCAAGATTCCTCCAACATCTGCAATGATTCAGGTTAAGAAAGTCCACGGCACTTTGAGAGCATGTATGGGACAAACTACATTTCAGAAACAAATCGTTTATTCCTTTCAACTGAAAATTTTGAAGTTGATCCTCTCACTGCACTGACTTTAAGCAGAATGACTCAATTTCTCAAAGGATTTAAGTTTTAGGATGAATTCAGAAAGCATTTTGACACAAAAACTGGTCTGGCTTCTCCAGGTGGTTGCCCACTATCTCATTTTTAATTGCCTGTGTAGCTAAAATGAGCTAATTTTGTTTACTTCTTAACAGATCAAAGAAGATATGGGCTTATCTCACATTTACTAGCCCAGTGCAGGCTCTGCATACAATAATAAGCCTCATCATTCACATCATTAGCATTTCCACATTGTTACCTTATTACTGGAACTAATTACATTTGTAATTAACAACACAGATCTGTAAAGTAAGAGGAACTAATTAAAAAAAGAGAGAACTAATATTTACGATTAACAAGCCAAAACAACAGCTCAACCTTGTTCATCTCCCAGCCCACATCTCCTCTACCACTGTATGCTTTACCCCTTATTCTCTTCCTTCCCAGCTCTCCTACTTCTGCTTTTAAACTACTACCACAGCTGCAGTTTCTTTTTTAGTGATCCTTTAACATGCTTTCTGGACAACAGTTGAAAGTGCTTCCATTCTTATTAAAACTAAATAATTAAATGCTAAGGTCTACTTTTATTGAAGGTTTTTTTGATTGGTTGGTTGTTCTTTTCTAATTTCATTTTATTTTGGCCAATGGGGAACAGCCCAAGGACTTGCCTAAAGAAGCAGCTTTATAAAGTAAAGCTCTCCCTGAGCTGTCATATACAGTTTTGTCAGCTATGGCAACTTTTTGCTGAAAGTAAAGGGAGATTATCTGTAAAAAGGTACTTTGAGTCTATAAAGAATTTTTACAGTAAACTACATCAAATTTCCACCCATCAAATTATTATGAACAAAACTCCCTGCACTGACAAACATTTCCTACAATGAGAAAACTCCACTCAATCACTCAGTCATACCCCCTGTCACAGTCAACAAAGCCAAGGAAATCTCTCACCATGCTCCCCAAATACCCATATATGTCGTAAGCTGTTTTGTTGAAATCCTGTGCTTTTCTCAGTGATGTCTGTGTGATACAACAGCAAAAGCAGATGTGGCTGGCATTAAAAAAAAATGCAGACACAAGCTAGCGCATTTTCAGTTTCCAGTGATTTACTTAGCAGCAAATCCCTTGTACATGGATTCATGCACTACAGGCATCTGTTCAGCCACACCCAGCCACTCTATTACTCCTAACTAAAATTCTTCCATTACTGAAGACTGAGGAGATACCCACAATAAGAAACAGAGTAGGCATACAATAGCTACGCTGGTTACAAGGATAGTAAAAATATTCAAGCTCATTTAGGAAGCAGAGTGCAAGTCCAAGCTGTAAACCATAGCCTCCTAGCTGTGTTCATCAATGAATAAACAGAGAATCTTTTAACTCTGTTCCTGTCTCCACATGCCTTCCTTGAATATTTCTCCAGTCAGTTAACATATTGTTTCTCCAATACTTGTGCCAATCAACCCTGCACCATAGCACCGCATCATTTTAAAAGTAATTCCCTGAAAAGATGCCACATTTAGCAAGAACTGCCTTTCAACAGCCATTCAAATACTCAGCATCACCCTCTGACACTGGACTATCAGGCAGTCAAGAGTGACAAGAAGCTGTCCATTAAGCCCACCTAGACAATAAGCCTGCTTTTAGCTTCTCTGGTTAAGTGAAAAAATGGCTTTCATGAAGTTGATAAAGTTGCATCTTAAGAGCACTGCAACGCTCAACAAAAAAAACACTCGTCTCCAGTATCAGTCTTTTCCTTCAACACTTGAAAAGGGGTTGTGAAAAAAATCAAACAATGAAAAAAAGAAAAAAAGAAAGGTCACCCTTCCTGGCTGTTGATTTTTTATATTTTTTTTGCGCTCAGAGTGGAGTTTTCTTGTTATTTTATTTTTTAAAAGTATCTTCTGTCAGTCAGTAGTTCCCAGGTGTGGATAAAAATAATGTCACAGACCATGACACGTCTTGGCATCATGACACAGGCTTTCCTTTGTCTTCATCTCCTGCCATAGAACATGGCAAGCAGCAATTCATCTTGCTTTTTTCCAATTCATAGATAAACAGGCCACATTCTTCAGCTCTGAATCACCATGAGACCAAGTTAAGAGGTTTCTTTCCAGACTGTATTGTCTATTGCCCTTAGCCAGGAGTGCACATTTCCTGAAACTTCATTTAGAACACACACATGGATGCCTCTATCTTCAGGGAGGCAGATTGCCTTTCTGGCTCCCATTGAAGTGCCCCCTCTTGTGCTTTAGTAATTACTTATTTTCAAAAGATGTCAGACATAAAACCTTTCCTCCATATTGGAGACTCATATGCCCAGGTTCTTATCTTGTATAGACGGGCCTTCCAAAGCCATGTCAGTGTCACCAAGTGGATTTACATTCAGCAACAGTTCTTCTATTTCTCTCCTTATTCTTCCACTTAGGTATTCAGATGCTATGGCTCAACGCCTGTGAACCAATCACTTTCAGTAGTACTTATAGTCTTAACTACAATGTGAGATCTCAAGCAATATTTAAGATAACTAAACAATTCTTCACATACAAGGCTCTTCCAGCAACTCTTCAAATCCCTTCGTCTCTGAAGGGATTGTTAGTATCAAACAAACAAAAAAACTGCAATTACCTTCCACTCCATTCAGCCAGAGTTGCTTGAGTTAAAGCATGTGCTCTGCAATTCAACAGCAGTTAAGCTATAACAATGATCTAATATCTGTGCCACGAGAGATGTGTTCAGTTTCATAAGTTAACAGAATACTAACAGAATGCTTATTCTAACTGCAATTTGCTACAGCTCTTCATTCCAATCCTTTCACTTCTGGAAGCATCTTACCAGTTCCATCATCTGCATCATTCTGACCAGTCTCCCAAATCTCTGATTTTGTCCCAAAGCCATCAGTGGCAGAAGACTCCGTATAGTCTGCAGGGTTAAATGTCCTAGAGTTTTAAAAGTTAAGAAATGGGAGAGAATACATGGGTCATTCATTGAACACAAGCGCCATTATTTTCAGCTGCAGTTGTGTTAGATTTAACATCTTGATTTCCACATGTTTATCTTGATATTTTGTTTTCCAAAAGAAAATTTTCCTCTAGCAGCAGACACGGATAAAAAAAGGAAAAAAGGGAAAAAAGAGAAAAGAAGTAATAGGAAGGGGAAAAAAAGTGGAGACTGTTGAGAAACTGAACCAAAACCAGAACTCCTGAAAAAGCAGTCAACAACAAACATACTCCTCCTCATCCTATGACACAGTTTATACTGTCAGCATTAAGCCCTTCTCAGTTGAGAGTTTCTCGGTGGCAGACTGGTGAGAAACCAGTATAGTGTACTTTAAGAGCACCAGAATGTGCAGCAGTCAGAACATCACCAAGATTATTTCAGAAGGCACTCTTGACACCAATGCCAAAAAACAGATGCCTATAACAGGTGAAAAGGACTAATTCAGAAAAATTTCCTTTCAATTTATCATCAGAACTGTGAACAAGGACTATCAGAGAAGTAAAAGTAGCCTTCTGTTTGTTCATTGCGACACCATTGGTGTTACATGAAGTGTCATTTCAAGTAAACAATGAAAGTAGTGGAGGCTATGCTTCTCTGAATCAAGCTATTCTGACAAAACTGAAAACAGTTTTTAGAACTAATGATAAACTTCCTTTGATTCTGTCTTAGAGCACATGCATGTCCAAACAGATAAGGTGTGAAAGCTCAAAAAGAGGAGAAAGTTTATGATCAGTAGTCTTTCTGTTTTACATAGGGCTCACATGCTGATTACACATTACACTGATACAAATATTTTTAAATTGGCTTTGGACAATAACCATTTCAGAGCACCTTCAGCCTCCTAAGCACTATGTGTCTGTTACTGATAGGTACAAATGAATTCAAGTTTGACACATTAACATTGAGTAAACTAAGATCAGGATAGTCCAATTAGAAATACTGAATTAAAATAATCCATTTATTATCTAACAGAGCCTTGAATTTTTGCATCCATGCTGATTTACTCTACATACAACAGTACTAATACATACAGTGGCAATCAATATTGCTGCTGAGCTTGACTCTCCCCAAAATCTGCACTCTGCATGTTTCTTACCCCATGCCTTGGGCTGAAAACCGCCCCGCTCCTCTCCCTCTGCCACGTCCAAACCCTAGGAGAGAAAACACCATTTAACAGCAAAAGCAGAGAAGGAGCCAATCACTAGTCTGTCACATAAGAAAATACCATGATTGAAGAGAAAACCACTGTGATTAGTTAATTATATATTCTCACAGGAGAACATCTCCCTAACATATGCAATCCTGGGCAACCTGGTCTAGTGTTTGGTCTAGCAGTAGGCAACTCTACCCATGGCAGGGTTGTTGGAAGTAGATCATCTTTGAGGTCTCCTCCAACCCAAGCCATCCTATTATTCAATTAAGTCACATTTTACTGAATTTTTCAGCAGGACTTGCAATTTTTTTTTGCTAGCTTTTCTGTGGCTAGAGAAGTAGCACAAAATTCTAACAATAGGACTTACCTAAAGCCTCATTCCCAAAGGAGGCTGCTACTGCCAAGTCATTGGCAATGTTTCAGTGTTCAAAAATTTGTTTCTACTTTCTCACTCTTGCTTTAGAGGCTCTACAATCACAGCCCCCATGCATGCTCAGAACTCTCCAAAATTCCCTGTCACTTCCTGCCTGTGAGACAAGGGTGGAGGAAAGAGGGAACACACAAGGGGAGGACTGCTTCAACAGAGGTCATCCCTACTTGTGACCCCAAGCTCTACTCCATTCCCTGCACTCAGTGTTTTGCAAATACAGCCACAGATTAACCACAAAACAACCGACAAAATAGTTGGTTCACTGTTGAATAAGTTTTCTGAATCAGATCCCTTCTTGCTAACTGCCAGAGAACTAGTCATCTTCACATTTGGATAATTCACCAAAAATCAGGTAAACAGCTATCATGATGCCTTCCTGCTTTTGTATGTTTTTTTGTTGTTGTTGGTTGGTTGGCTTGGCTTTTCTTTTTTGGCTTTGCAATCTTCAAATGCAATAGGAAATAATCAGCACCAATTCCTCTCTGCAGTGATGTCAGTTTACGCTGCATAAAGAGCAGAACTAGTGGTACTCTAAAAAGACCAATATGTGTTTTCCAGCATAATGGACAATGTTTCCAAAAAGTTATTTTTTTCTTGTGGTAATTCACATTTTGCTATTCTTCGATGGGTATTTTTAGTCTCCCACCAAAGAGAACAAATGACATGGCACTAGCTCATTGCATCTTCCACTGTGATTGATGGAACAGATTTTCTTACAATCATTCAGCATACTGAGCAAAAAGCAAATAATGACATTAGGGAAAGAATAAAGTTACTGCCCTGTCTCATGCAAACACTCATAAAATTTCTTGGCATTTCTTTCCACTTGTACCTGCAAGGAACAGCCCAAAATAAAGTCAATGTAACTTACTTATTTCTGTTCCAGGAAGCTAGGACTCAGGACCTATGCTTAAAGGTGATTCCAACTAACACTCCTACTATTAATCTTATCCAACATCATAATTTTAAATGAACTATTTAAAATATTCTCCAGTTCTCTTTCAGTTTTTACTCTGTGAATACTGTTAGTTCTTTTCCTCCTTTCCAGAACACCTCCCTCAGTCAGCTAGGTTCACTCTGGCTATAACTTGTTTTCATTTAAATTCTCCAGCATTCATTCCAGAAGAGAAACAGGTGTTGAGTTTTTCTGTCTCCAGTAAAACGTACTGGGAGTTCAAAACTTCTACAACCAGAAAATCAGCTCTGGTATCTCCCCTCCACGGAAACAATGGTTCATACACTTCATTCAGAATGCTTCTTCTCCTAACCACATGCACACTGCTGGGAAGCACAAGATAAATATTTATCCATTAATTCTGCCTATTTTGTAGAACACAGCTTAGATTTCTGAACTTAGAAGTAAGTTCTTCCCCAAAAACACAAGCTCCACCTCAAAACTAAGATTTCCATGCTGAATGGTTTGAATTAGACAAAGAAGCATCAAGGTTGAAAAAGAGGCTGAGAAGAATAAAAGAAGAATAAAAGAATAGCTGAAAGGAGAATACACAGACTGGAAGAGCAAGTAATACCCCAAAGATCTGCTCATCTTACACTACGTAGCAGCTGGAAAGCCCAAGCCTCTGTTCTGGAAATGCAGAGCAAGCCAGCCACAAGAAGATGAGGAGATAAAGGCCTACCACTTATGAACAGGTAACAAGGCGGATGTCTTCTATTCTGGGTATTCCATGCTACAGAAATAAACACTGAGGTTTATCTGTAGAAATTCAAATAACTTTTCTTATTAATCATCATAAAGCTAGAAGCACTGGCACAGTTTTACGTACTGTATGTGCTCTAGTAACCATTTGGAGAAGCAAATGGGAAAAACTTCCAATTCCACACATAACATGAAGAGAAATAAGTGACCTATGTTAAAACAAGGAAAAAAAAAAAAAGAAACTACAGGAACGGAACACAGAAACACTATTTAGAAACACAAGGAGCTCCATAGCCAATGCAAGCTAACTACAGAAAAACTAAAACTTCAGACTGTGACCTCCAGAAGGTCTACTCTGCATTCATGTTTCAGAAAAAAAAAAAAAAGAAAAAAAAAAAGCAATATTCTTGGTAGTTTTGGCAAAGAAAATTCAAAATGTGTTCTATATGTCCTGTGACAACTGTACAAAGCCCTTAGACATGCAGTTCTGGTTACAGAAGCTCACCTTCTTCCAGAGAAAATCTTTTTTTTTTTTTTTGTAAAGAGAGAGATTATGTACACAGGCTGGACTGGTCTGATATTTACAAAACTGGCCAGCCGCTCTACTTTTTTTTTTTTAATATATATATATGTATATATATCTCCAGGAAAATTTTTAAAAGTTTGAAAGGTTCTTCCACAGTCCAAAATTAAAACCTCATGCTTTTCCCTTTCACTTTTATTTCTGTTTTCCTAGAAGGAACTCACTGTTGGTTTTCTCAAAGAACGACAAGGAAGATTTAGAAATAGCAGTAAAAATGACAAATTCACTCTCACTTTACAAATGAGAAAAATGACCACATACTATTTCTATGCTGAATGAAGATCACAAGTTCATCTACCTGCTATCCTGTTATCAACTACTGGCAGTGAGAGTTCTGTGGAAGCATGCAAGAACTGAAATCACAGCATAATCCCCCTGGACATTCTCCTGGTCTTCAACTATTAGTTGCTCAAAGGCTTCATGAGCCAGATGATCTACATAATTCACAGCCCTTGTAGGGTTTTGGGGGTTGTATTTTTTCTGTTGGTGGTCTTGTTTCTTCACTATGGATCTTTTTTAGGATGATTTTGTCAAGAGCCTGCAAATGTTACAGATTCTAGAAACTTACGTTCCTCGGGTTAATTACCTATAAGAATATCACTTCCATATGCTCATTTTGAACTTGTAACATAATAATTTACTATCCTCTCATTCTCATACTCACATGAATTGACTGATCAATTGATTTTCTCATAGAAAATTTCCTGCAGAAATTTTACAAATCCTCATCATACAATCATTTAGCCCTCTGTTTTCCAGGCTGCAAAGCCCTACTCTGCCTGTTCCTCACAGCCCATAAAGGCCATCTTCCCAGTACCTTTCCAAGTCTTCTGCAGTTCTACCACTCCTATTTCAGTGTGGGGTAGGGGACAGTGGGAGGACCAGATACAAATTTAAAACTGAAGACATAGGAATAGCACAAAACAGCTATAAAAAAAAAAAACCCACAAACACTGTGTCTGTAAAATCTGTCAGTTTATAAACAGCACTACAGCTGATTAAAATACAAATAAGTAAACATTTCTAGAACTGACAGTCCTGAAGTTGCAATCGTCTCTCTTCCTAATTCCTTCAGGAGATTCTATTCCAGACAGTTACAAATCCTTCAACAACTAACACAGAAATACAATTATTATCAATCAGTATTACAGTGATTTTTTTTTTTTTAACCGCTAAATTAAACTGATTGAAGAAATTCAGTTCTGAAAAGAAACAAAATGGGAAGGCCACCTTAAAAACACGAGCTCCTTGACTTTTTTCCCAATCAAGGTTTACAACCTGCTTAGCAAGCAAAGATTAGAAGCAGAGCAGTCCCAGCTGGGATGTGTCACAGAACACCTCCTGTGGTGCACTTGTGCTTTCTCTTCCTTGGTCAGTAACACCCACCTGAAATCCCTGATGTTGCGTATGCCAGCAACCAGCACTGTTTGTACACTGAGTACCTATTAGCCGACTAAGATGCAAGGAATGTCACACAGTCAGTAATGGAAAATCTACTGCATTAGGAAATAATGCCTATAGCACTAAGTTGAAATTCTCAGTTTGTTTTCTTCCCCCAGTGAACAGTACGCTGTCACCTCTGAGTTAATTCAATCTCTTCTGTTTTCAAAGCATGTCATTCCTTAACATTAGATTCTTCTACAATGAAGCAGTAATACAGTGGGCCAACAATCTTCCCCCTAGAAAGCAGCCAATAAGATAATTCCAGCCTGAGACAGTAGCTTAAAATAGAGAAAGAGTGTGTTGCTCAGATATTAGCTGACCCCTACGATGCCTGCACTCCTACACACTGAATGAAAAGCATCTAAAAAAGGGACCTGCAATGATTACCAACAGTCTATTTACTTTCAGCAGAAATACTTTACCCCTACATTTCCCTATTTTGTCTAATAGTGAAAAAAACAGCAAGGACCTTTTATTTAAAATAAAACCTACTCTTACTGAAAGTCACACATCACTGAAATATTGAAAAGTAAATTATATAGCTTTACATAATTCCCTGCAGATTTTGAGGGGTCGCATTATAAAATGAAACTGGCTATTTCTACTCTAAAATACACATACTTGTAATACAACAATCAGGAAGTCATTCACAGGGTTTATTACAGACAGTTGAAAAGACTTAATCGAGGCACTTTGCTCACATTAATGCAGAATACGAAATATTTGGTAAAGAGATACAGAAATACTGTATACACTAACCCAGATACAGAAACTGGATAAAGTTCTTCCCATTTTTTCAGTCAGGTAAATCAGTTTGATACCAATGATTAAAAGCCTTGGCTTGAAACATGATATTCACCCAGAGAGTGAGTTAGTGCTGACAACAAATGCAATGCATTGTTCACATGGTTACAAATAAAGATACTGAAGACTGAACTTAAAATTAACCTCTGAATTTCATCCCCAAAATTTAATTTTAAAAGTCCTATGTTTATATTTACAACATGCATAAATAATTACTTTACACTAAAAACTAAAGCATTTGAATTCCATCTGTAAACAGTGAATTATACCACAATTTCCTCAGCAAAGCTACTCTGTGAACATGTTACTTCTTATCAGCTGATTGACATGCACAATAGAGTAATTCTCACAACCCTCTGGAAGCTATCTATCTTTACACCCTTCCATTCCTTCAGGATATAGATTTGGAAACAATGAAGTTTGATGTTCCAGTCACTGAATGCCTCGTTACTGGATATTCCAAATAAGACTGTCTTTGGTAGGTAGAAATTATCTTTTTCCCTGCAAGTCAGACATTATTAAGCTATTAGCTCTGCTGTGCACTCCATCAGTGTAACTTCTTTATTACCCATTTTCCCCATGCAAGCTGTACCATTCCCACGTATCCAGTTCCATTCCTTTTGCTCTAAGAAAAATATGCTTCTTTCCACTAGATCAAAAGAAAATCTAAACCAACTGTGCATCTTGTTTCCACGTCAAACAAAGACGTCTGTCCTATCTCTTCCAGAGAATACAATTAGAGTTGTAGCTATGAGTCCACAGTACTGTGTCTTTCCATACTTCTGTTCAACACTCCCGTGCTAATTCTATTTTTCTTTTTTTTTCTTTTTTTCTTTTTTTTTAAATAACAAAAAACCTCTAAAGTTACTAGTGCTCTCCTACTGGGTATTGAAAACAGAAGGCAAACCTGGCAACAGGATCCACTAAAACAAAATGGCACAAGAACACATCAAATCCCTCCACAAGAGTTCTACAGAAGAAATCTTGCACTCTCCTGCTGCCAAGGTACATCTTGAGGAGTCCATTACACTCCCACACACAGGAGGCTGTCGCGATTCAATTTGGAGAAGAGCTCTCCATAGCTGGAGGACACAAAAAAATGCCATGAAGGTGATGCGCTGATACTCTTAAGCCATTATGACACCAAACAATGGTCTCATAGTGGTTAGGAATGAGAAACAATGGTTAGGGGGTGAGAGTATCTAAATTAAAGATGCCTGAGGTGCTAATGGATTCAAAGGAAAACCAACAAATGCTTAAAAATAAGCTTTTAATCAAATAAATGAGGGAGTTTCATTTCAGGAAATGAAATCAGTGCCAGTCCCACACCAACGCCACCATCTCACCTCTCCCACGGCCACGTTTCCCACGGTCTGAAGGCCTGTCTCCTTGACTGTTGTCCACTCCATTTTCTTCAGCTCTAACTGTGGAAAGATGACAACTTAAGAAAAAGTTTAGGGACTTATACATGAAACAACACAGTCACCTGCTTAACTTGAACCCAAAAAGATTGTCAGAGCACTACGGTCAAGATACCTCAGTCATCCCTCTCCTTTTTGCAGGCCTAGATACGGGCAAGTTGCTCACTTTAAGGTGGACAACTAGGAAGCAAAATATCTTTTAAAAGGGTTATGCCTTCTTGCAGACACAGCACTTGTTTTTTAAACCCTGGTCTCAAATCTATATAGAGGCAAGAAATTACCCTGCCTCATACTTGACTTTCCTGATAATGTGCTGATTGGCAACAGCAGATGAGTAAGATAACCAATAACACCAACACTTCTCCTGTCATCCTGTCCTGTGCCCCATCTTCTGACTCCCTTACAGAGGTTGGAAATGACTGACTACCTACAGCACTGTTGAGAATTATGTACTACACAACAAATTCAAATAGCACCAACATAACCATTAAAGAATGTATGTAAAGGAGAGAGGATAATATCAAGATTTGGTAGTCATCTTTAGTTCATTTTTAGTACAGAAACAAGCAGTATATGGCCTTGCCAAGACATCTCTCTCCATACTTTCATTTTTCTACAAAGACTCACAATGCCTCCACTGACTGGTACAGTTATGAATATATTCCAGTTATGAGTTACAGAAGTTTGGCTAAAATTGTAAATATTTGTCCTGCTTCTAAGGGAAAAGGTGGGGTTTTTTGGTTGTGTTCTTTTCTATCCCCTTCATTTTCTACTCATTTATTAGTGTTACAATAAATATTTATGGCTATCTTAGGAGATACAGGTAGCTTAGATAATTTCTGATAAAACGTAAGAGAAAAAAGGTGATCTGTATATTCAGTGGTGATTTAATGAGATTCTGTGTAATTCAAAAAACTTCAGTTCTCTCTTGCACAGCATGCTATTGTATCTGCATAAACGTGAAATTTAAATGTTTCTGTTCGCGAAGTACTACTTCTGTTGTGGAAACTCACCTGCAGCTGGTTTATATGAGAAATATATGCAAGAGATTAATAATATTCCCAGCTTTTTCATTCCCCTTATGAGAAGATGAGAACATCTTCAGGTTTTCACACTCATAAAAGGAGATGGAGTCAAGCTAGATTTTTTTTTTCATTAAAAGAAACAAGAAAATGTATCAGCTGTGCAGCAACATATTTGCCTTCAGGCAGTCTTACAAAGACTCATTTCTAAAACTCACATGAAGAACAGCAAGTTGTAAAAGATCAATTAACCAAAAAGGTTTAAATTAAACTGAGCTGTCTCAAAAACAAAAGCAAAGACCATTCAAAAAAACCAAGTAGATAAATCAAGTATACTTGTCACATAAACAAGTTATGATCACATCAGCACTGCGCTTCAGCTCTGACAGACTTTGTTCCATTAAACATTCACTTTCCACCAGTTTCATCTGCAAGAAAGACATCCAAAGCTTTTAAAGTGAACCCCTATACGTACACTCTCGGCCACGGCTGCCTCCTCTTCCCCGTCTGTTGGAACTTCCCCGTCCACGACTTACTTCTCTGTCCCCTCGTTTTTCTCTGTTCTCTTTGTTTTCTGAACTTTCCTTTCCAAGGCTTTTCTTCTTTCCCCCTACAGTCTCCCAAGAAGTCTATTTAGATAGAATAGAATTAGATACAGAAGTCAAAAAGAAAGAGAAATCTCTGTCTATAATATCAACCCACACCTGTTCACTTCAAAGGAAAAAAAATAGGTATTTCTATAATAGCAGGTTAGTGATATGTACCAAGAACTACACTGATACAAAAGGAAAATCTAGTTCTATCCATGGAAAGAGGTGAGCAAGAAACAAATACTAGAATTTAAATGCAGGCTAAGAACTTCACAAAACACAAGTGTCCACAATAAGCCAAACCACCCGCTCTCACAGCCACAGCTCATCACAGAGAGCAGAAATCAATACTATGTCTAAACAAGAAAAAAGACTAAGGTCCAAACATCAGACCTTGGTTTTAATATAAAAATCCATCCTTAAAATAAATTCAGTGATAACATCAATTTCACATGAATGTAGGAGTTGAAAATAAAGCGACTAAGACACTTGCTAAAAACAATACAGTAATTTATGTACTATGCAATTGCATGGTTAGTCTACTGAGCAGAGTAAAAAAAAAAAAAAAAGTATCATTTGTAATGAATGAACAGTGAAGATGGCAAAACAATGAAGATGGCAAAAACTTCTTCTAAGAACTTATTGTCTAGATAGTTTTCATGAAGGAAATTTGCTTATGTAGATAAGTTGCCATTAGCTATGAAGTACTAGATAAAGCCCATGATCCCACATCAGGCAATTGCCAATCATATTTCTTATTTCTCTTCAATTCAGCTGACAAGCAGTTCTCACAAAGTAGACAGGGACCAGCTAATCCAACTTGCCTAGAATTAAGAAAACTAATGTTGCAAAGCAAGCAGGTAGCAAAACAGTTCACAAATAAAAAGTTTCAACATCCTGTATAAGACAACAAGTATTAGAACGGTCACACACAATCACAGAATGGTAAAGATTGGAAGGGACCTCAATGATCATGAATCTCCAGCTCCCCTGCCACGTGCAGGGCCACCAACCTCCACATTTATTATTAGACCAGGCTGCCCAGGGCTCCATTCAGTCTGGCCTTGAACACCTGCAGGGACAGGGCATCCACAACCTCTCTGGGCAGAGTTATTTTTTGCAGAAGTGTATGTGAGAAAAAAGGCTGAAATCACTACTCAATTTCATAACCAGTAAATATATCTAAAACTGCCATAAACCAACTGGTCAACAAGGTGAAACACAGATGCTGTAGATTAGAAGAACAAAACAAACAGCTTGATTGAGCAGCACTGTTGTTTGTGAAACAGAAATCTCAGCCTCCTCTAGTAACTACTGTATGAGGCCAGGCTCTTGTCAGTGGTGATTAGTGACAGGACAAGGAGCAATGGCCTAAAATTTAAACATGAGAAATTCTGTAAAGACATACAGAGTAACTTCTTTACTACAAGGGTGATGGAGCACTGCACTGACATCTGAAGAAGCAAATCAAGATGGGTCAGAATGCACTATTATTTCTCTAACAGTACAGTGCCAAAAGACTTTTAATCTTATTAAGAAATTTCCCAAACTGAATGGTTCTGCAAATCATATGTAAAAGTGGACTCTTTTTCATAAAGCTTTATATGGCATGAAAAAAATGACCACAATGGAGGCATCGGATTTCCACGCATTCCCACAAATAGAGATTTCTGATAATCACAATCCTTGGGGTTTGAAAAGTCTTTTATTACTATTTATACAAGGAAAAAATCAATATAATTTTAAAGAAATCTGAGAAGTTGGGAATGGTGTGGTCTCTGTGCACGGGTACACATCATGGACAATCGTGCTTTATTAGAAGTTAACTATTATGATTACATTTAGCTGAGGATGCTTCATGCAACCCAAATTACAGCTGTAAATTTTACCCTTGGAAATATATAGAGCAAGTTCCCTCTTGCTCATCTTGTCCCCTTAAACTACCTTAAAAAGCCTCAGCAACTAAAATGTAGTTGGGCATAAAATGGTTTTTGCTCCTGTAGGAAATTAAATGCCTTAGGCAAAGAAACATGCCATTATCTACTCTCCCTCTGTACATCCAAAGCCAGACAATCACAACCATTCCAAGCAAAAAGTTTTTACTACAACAGAGTACAAAGCTTTAAGGATCGCAGTTTAAAAAAAAAAAAATACAGTCTGGCAGTATATCAAAGAATTTATAAATAGACACTATCACTCCTTGCTCTTCTAATTCCTCAAACTGTGTAGATACATCTACTGAATGAAGTAAAAAAATAATACAGTGCACTAAACAAATCAAAGTTCAAAACAGATTTGGCAATTTTACTCAGAACAAGAAGTACCTCTGCTTCCAACATTATATTACAGTGCAACTATTCTGGAGTACAATGGCTCTGCAACAAACCATTTCAAGCTTGAGGTCCATAATTCCACAAGGAATAATAAATGACTTCACACACTGATCTAGAGCTTGCTAATTAATATCTTTTCAACCTTCCTCACCGAGCTCTCTGTATTTCTTTGTGAGCTGCATTTCTTCTATGGAGAGCAATGTGTTCAGAGGGACTTTGTTCAGAAATGAAGATACTGTATCCTACTGATAAATGAACTCAGAATGTTTATCCTATATCATCATCACTTATAACAATTTGCTAGGTAAGAAAGCATTTAACTTTTTTCTTTTTTTTTTCCCCCCCCCCAATCAAAAAACTATTTTCAACTAGAATATTATATATTCAAGAGATGACAGAAAGGACAACACATTACTGAGATTGGTATAATCAAGGTGAGGTGGTCTCTTTTACTATCAGCTTACTCACACACTCAGCATTACACACTGCAGTGCATTACATGACTTCAACTCCTACAAATGAAAGAGGATAGAATAGAAAGATCCCTTGGTTAGAATGTTTTGTGACTTAGATCTGAGGTGCACAAAGTAAAGCTTCCTCACAAGCAATAAGCACACCCTGGTAAGTCACAGGAAGTAGTCAACATTCAACATTAGGGAAGTTCAGATTTCTTTCCTGATTTTCATGATAGTAAACTGGATTTTATTTCAGATAAATCTAAAGAAGCCCCTCCAGCAAAATCTTCAAGCAGTTTTGTGAAAACCTCCTGTTGCCATGCAACAGTATGTGACATGGTTGCCACACATAGCTCAGATTCCTCTTTCTGTTTCCCGATGAAGTCAGGCAGATGAGCAACACAGTAACAAAAGAATTACTTGCTGTATCCTCTCCTACTATTATTAGCTTTCTACTCATCTTTCAGATAGAGACTGGAAACCCACAATGCATTCCAGCAAAAATTACAGGTCTTCAAGTACCTCCCTATCCTTTGAGGTTTACAGAGGTTGTGGCAAACAGTACCAAGTCTCACGTCCCACAGTTGCGGAGGTGCTTCAAACAGGCCCACATAAAACAAAAACACGTTCCAAAGAACACAGATACACCTAAATATAAGATGGAAGACTGCAGGACAAAAGTAGAAAATCCATGACTTTTTCAAGGTTCAGCCCACACTGAAGTATGCACAAGACAAAAGCAGCTTTGGGCCTCCTCATTTCTTTCAGAGAAACTTCAGTGGAGACATAAATTTAAAGCTTCTAAATAGGACTTTCCCAATACTTATCTCAAAGTAGAAAAGTACAGCAAGCAAAAAGATTAGTTGAATACTGAAGTAAAACCTTACCGTGTCTGAACTTCCTTCCAGCAGTATGTTGATTGCTCTGTTCACATCCCCATTACAATCATGTAGTGCCACTATGCACTCATCCTGGTTTTTCCCCGTCACTTCCATAAGCTGGCAGTAAAAGTCACACATGTTAAAATATTCAAATCATCATCATCAAGTAAGAGTACCACCACAGATTCCAAAAATGTGCACAGCTACCGTGTCAGAGCAATTTAAAATCCTAAGTAAGGGTATCTACCTTATAAAGACCTGCTTACAACTCAGATAAGAGACAAGTTCAAGTAACAACCAATTAAGCATCCCTATGCTTTTTTTTTTTTTCCTTTATACTTCATGATTTCAGCAAATGCTGAATCCTCAAGATAACTATATATGAGTGTAAAAACATTAAGAGGCTAGGACAGCTCCAGTAACATTCTCCCTCACCACTTGACCCCACTGCGTAAGCACAGCCATGGTGGAAAGTCCAGATCCATCTGGAAAAACATCCAGAGAAGTTAACTTTTTTAACTAGATCAGCTCCTTTGATCTACTTTAGCATAAAGCCATGCAAGCGGGCTAAGTGATGGCTGCTCAAGGAGAGCTGGTACTAAATTATGCCTTGTGGAACCTGTAGCATACATCCTGAGTAGTTTGGGACAGATATAAACAAGATCTGTCATGGAGTATCCAGTACCTCTATCCATCAAGAGAAAAAAAACCAAAAACCAACATATGATAGAAACCAACGTGCACAATTAAGATTCTGTACAACTCCTACGAAGAATTTAATTCTTAGCCTTCTTCTGATCAGCAAAGCTACAGGCACTATTTCAGGGTCCTTAGGCTTTAGGATCTACAGGACTTCACTCCCGGCATAGCAATGAACAACTTTATGGAAAAGAAAAACAAAAAGCAGTTAACAGTGTCTCATAGGAGGCTTCAGAAAGGAAAGGCAATTTAGAAGTGCGCCCCCACCTGCTGCAACAATGCATTCATAATAACTCTTGTACTGGATGTGTTCCTACGTTCTACATGAAACGTGATGTGCTCACAAAGGTAAAACCAATGCACTGAGCCAAACAGGTATAGCTGAGTCCTCAATACTCAGCTACAACTGTGCAACAGAAGATGGAATGCATAAAGCCAATGCTCAGCATGACAGAGGAAACAGTGTGATATTTCACTTTAATGCACACACAAATCTAGGAGATCAGATTTTAAAAGACAAAAACCCCACATTACTTCAATTCACCTTTTGCTAGTAATAGATTTTTACTTTTCCTGAAAAACAGATGGTGATTTAGCAAACCCAGTTTACACAGGTGACCCATTTTTCCCACGTGCATGTACATGCAGACAAACTGAAAGCACTCATTAATTCTGAGTCAGCTCAGCATCAGGACCATTCTAGAGACAGAGTCTGGAAGAACCATTGGCACAGATGAGTTTTAGCTAAAAGCTTTGTTTACAAAGGGAAACGGTCCAGAATAACTATACATCCAGTGTTATTCTACCACACAGTGTCTTACAAGCAGAATTTTACAGTGCAATAAAAGCACCTATTCCTAATTAAATGTATATCATTCTGAAAATGGCTTCATCTAAATAATAATCAGCCACCCAAGCTCCAAAACGTAAGCCATCCTAGGAACACCTCATTTGCAGGGCATAAAAACTCTGTACCGTAAGAAACATACTTGTTTCACTTTATCTTCAAAATCTGCATCGTTCTTATCGTAGATCATCTGAGCAAGGCGAATCTGTTCTGCTGTTGCCTGAAAAATGCAAACATTCAATAAAGTTCACAAAGCATAACAACATTTTTTAAGAGTATCTCCTAGAGTCACTATTTTTCTCTCCAGATTCTCAGAAAGAATACATGCAGCAAATACAAAAGAGCTATGGAGAAGTGATTAACATTTTCTTCTCTGTGTCCATTTTTCAGTTAAAAAGTTTATTGGAACAGAAGCGATTTCAACATGTGGTTTTGATGTTTGTGCCAAAGCTAGAAGTCACTACATAGATAAGACAATTATGTAACAGAATTTATTACACAAGTTTGTTTTGATATTATTACTTTTAGTTTTATGTAGTATTTGTCATTCCAGAGTCATTTTTATCATAAAAAAGCAGTAATGGTATTTTTCTAAATTAACCTCTTTTCTGATGATTCCTGCTCCCATCACCTTCCCTTGACTCTCCAAATGTGACCATAGATTTATGAATACTTAGAAGACACAGTTGCACCTCCAGATTCTGCCTGTGAACAGCTGCACTAATTCTGGCTTCCAGAAACTGCTAAAGGATCTTGCTGCTTATGAAATATATGGTGCCTCTGAAACATTTCTGGCCTACAAAAGTATACCTGCAACTCCTCCAGAAGTTGTTAGGCTAAAACAAATGGATACAGTAATGCACTATAGATCCTACTATGCGAAGGATGCCCCACAAACAGAGCTTGTCAACACCATTAATGTCTCCTCACAGTGTGGTATTTGGAGTCCACTGGAACTGCATGCCCCTGAAAATAACAAAGATAACTGTATGCTGCATGATCCTGGACCTAATTTGGTTTCTCTCAAACAGAAAAGACTTGCTATGGAAGGCTGATATTGAAGAGAGCTATTTGAGGTGCTGCAAAATATTTCTTCATTAAGAAAAGAACCAATTCATCCACTGAAATTCTTGAATAAAAGGATCCTGAGCAGCTGGTCAAACCTCACCTTTTGAAGTCTCACTTCAGAGAATACCAACATGAAGTTCTGAGCCCCAAGAGTTTGACTCATCAGCCTCAAATTGCATCGCTGTTGGAGTTTACCACAAATACAAGCTCTGGAGAAGGTCGCCAAGTGCAAATGCTGAGAAGAGTCTAAAAATTACTCCACCATACACCATCAGCTGCTTATTTGCTGAGAAGTTACTGCAGCTGTCTCAGTTCCTTGAGGGATGTGACATTTGTCATGCTGAGAGGCAATGTTCCAAGACAATTAGTGTTGTAACAGAGTTAAGCACTCTGTGCTATTTCACATTTCCAAAGTATCATGCTGACAGCTTCATACGTCAACTGGCAACACAAATGAGAGACTACTGCAGAATTCCCAGCTCCACGCCTTGTATTTCCCAGAGCACACTACACCTTCATGAGAGCCTCTCAGTTAGCAGGGTGTTCTGTGCAAAAAAACCTTTATTGGTGTCTGCCAGGTGAGTAGCAGAGAACAAAAAGTAGATGTCCACCAAGACTTATGCCTTGCTGACACATCCTCTTCCTCTGACTGACTTCAGTTTCCTCGGGCCCATCACAATTTTTAAATTCAAGACATTTCCTTTACAGACATCCAAAGCAGAAAAATTCAGACAATGTAATTTCTGTGTAGACATGACCACATATTTGACCAAAAATGGGAAGCCGTTAAAAAAAACTAAAAATTTATCTTAAGTCCCCATCAGATGACCAAAATATACCAATTTAATAACAACATAAAACATGACAGTATCATATTATTTTCTGTGTAAGAAGGCGGCTTAGAAAATCACTGATATTTTTGCCAGTGGACTACCTCCATACAGTACTCAGGATACTAAAGAAAAACAAAGATGTTTTTATTACACAAGTACCAAATCATTCTCACAAGTTTGGATTGTTGTCATTCGTGGGTTTTTTGCCCAGTAACTTGCTGTTCCTCATTTTTTAAGACACCATCTTTACAAGTAATATTTTATTGTCCTATAAAATAGTATAAATTTTACTCAGCCTTTCAAGATACATGACTTTGCAATGTTAGACACAATATTTTGAACCAACAACTTACAACTCTCAGAAAACAGAAATGTATAAAACACAAAATTAAGTGACAATAGTAGGCCCAGATCTTATAATAAAATATTGTATTTATGTATCCAGATGCTACAGAAAATATCTGCAATGTAACTTCTTAAAATATGATAATAGGATATGACAGTAAAGAAATCTCCATCTAGGAAAGCAAAGTTCTTCTAGATTCAGAGAAAATAATCAACAGTGATTGAACAGTAAAGCATCTTTCTGTTGATCTCTCAAGTTTGACTAAATAGGAAAGTTCATCTGATTTCTAAATAATAATAACACACAGTGCAGTAAAGCTAGTTGCTGTAAATTTGAATATCATTTTTTCTACTGAGCTGAGCAAACAAGTATTTGTTATGCAAGTAGAAAGAATAAATAGATAAAACCCAGAACACATGCAGTGAGACCAAACCTCTGAATCACAGCAGTTGGAAAGGTCCTCCAGTAATACTTGTGCAAACTTCCACTGAGGGCAGGTCCCATCAGAGAAGTTGCCTGGGACGAGACAGAGATCCCACCACCTCTTATTTCAGTATTTGTTAACTGTGAAGGCAGTCTTTCTTCCTCCCTTTTAACAGCTGGAATTCCCAGTATTCCAGCTCAAGCCATCAGATCTCTCTGATAAAACTTAGACTTTACCTTTTCTACGCCCTCAAAAAAGACATCTGAATAAACCCTGCCTTTCCTCTTAGGGCTGAGCAAACCTAGCTTTCTTGATCTCCTCTTAATTGCCTAAACTAATTTAATCATCTCTGATCTCTCAGCCACTTCTTTAATAGACTTGCTCCCATCTGCCCAAAACTGGTCTTGTATATGTCAAAAAAAATAAAGGAGAAGTCATCATTTCACAGAATATTATAACAGAATAATTTGGATTAAAGGACCTTAACGATCACCTACTTCCAACCCCCTGACAGCAGCAAGGACACCTTTCACTGGATCATGCTATCCATGGCCCAGCCATGAGCATTTCTGGGGATGGAGCACCCACTTCTCTGGGCAAAATGCTCTTATGCCTCACCACACCCATAGGAAAGAATTTCTCCCATGTATTTAATCTCAATTTCTCCTCTTTCAATTTGAATGTATTACCCCTTGTCCCATCATTAAACTTCCAGATAAAAAGTCCCTTCCAGCTTTCCAGTAGACTTTTCAAGGCATTGGAAGGTCTCTATAATATCTCCCAAGAGCCTACTCTGTTCTGGGCTGAACAAGCCCAGATCTCTCAGACCTCAGTATCCACAGAAGAGGCGCTCCAGCCTTCTGATCAGCCTTGAGGTCTCTATGCTCTTTGTGTGCTGGGACTTCCAAAGCAGACAGGGTCTTAGAAATGCTGAGTAGAAGCGAATAATCATCTTCCTTGCCCTTTTGGACTCTCCTTTTGATATAGCCCAGGATATGACTGACTTTTTGGGCACAACTACAAGCTCATGTTGATTCTCTCATCAACGAACAACTTCAAGATCTTCTCTTTAGGGTTGCAGTCCATCCAGTCACTCCTCAATCTGCACTGATGTTTGCTGTTGCTTCAACACAGGTACTGCACCTCGTGCTTGGCTCTGTAACGTTTGCGAAGGCTTACCTCTTAAGCCTGTCAAGGATGCTCTCGCTGGGACCCCTTCCCTCTAGAGTAACAACTGCACCATTCAGCTTGGTGTCATGCACAAATTTCCTGAGGGTGCACTCTAATCCATCACTAGTGTCATTAAGACATTAAACAGTACCAGTCCCAGCACGGACGCTGGAAGTACATCGCTTGTCTCCAACTGTACATCAACCCTTTGACCACAATTCTGAATGTAGCCATACAGCCAATTCCTTATCCATTGAATAAGTACATAAAGCCCACATTTCCAATTTAGAGACAAGGATGCTGTGTGGGAACACATCAGAAGCCTTGCTTATGTCAAGGTAGATTACATTCACTGCTCTCCCCTTGGCCACCACACAGGGTAGTTAGGCACGATTTGCCCTTTGTGAGGCCATGCTAACCATCCACAGTCACCCCAATGCTTTCCATGTGCCTTAATATGATTTCCAGGAGAACATGCTTCATTGTTCTCTCCAGGCATAGAGGTGAGGCTGGCCAGCTTGTAGTATTCTAGATCTTCCTTTTCACCCTTTATAGAAACAGAGGTTGTCTTCCTTTTTCCAGTCACTGAGGACTTCACCTAATCACCACAAGTTTTCAAGTAGTAGCTCAGCCACTTCATCTGCCAGTTTTCTCAGGAATGGAAAACTAACTGTGAAGACTAAGACAAACAGCTGAGTATCCCAGCCTTCTCCATGTCAGCCAGAGTCAAGACCTCAACTCACTCAGAGATGACATATCTTCTTTTGTTACCTTACGTATCTGGAGAAACCCATCTTGTTGTATCTTATACTCCCAGCCAAGTTTAGCTCTAAGTGTGACTTGGCTTTCCTAGTCTGGTCCCCACACTTCTGGGCCATGTTCCTATAACTCCTCTAGCATGCTTGTCTCTGTCTACATATTTATTTCATGTGCTTCTGTTTGGCTGAGAAGTTCATCATCCCACAGCACTCTAAATTATAATAGAACAAAAACAAATTCAGCTTCATCTATTTGAAAGTCACTTTCTAAATCCACACATTAGCATGAATCACCAGTAAGCAAAACACTGCAATGCAAGGAGATGAGGGCTTTAGTTCACATAATTAATACTGTATAAAACAGGAAGGAAGTCTCTCTGTGTTAAAGATCAGTCTGGAAAACAATAATAGAGACTACTTCCCAAGGGAGCACCTCTAGACTGATATGCTCTTTGCCAGCAAAGAACTGAGGCAATTCTTGAACTGAGTCCAATTTTGGAGAAGTACCTGACAAGAGAATAGAGTTGCCAGAAGCAGAGAAATTTTGCACTCTCTGTAACCCAGACAAGCACACAAACTTGACTACTTTGTTGCTGGAAATCAAGACAATGAGCTAATCTCACAGACACTCAAAATACTTCCAGTCTATTGGTGGACAATCTTCTTCATTTCACTTTGTGTGAAGACACTGCACAAGAAATATAGTATTTTGTGACTTACAGATCTGCTGAATCATGCTGTAGAACACAGTATGTGTCTAGTAAAGATTTTCCCACCCACCCAAATGCCTGTAAGAACAAGGAATCTTCTAGCACCATGAGGCTAACATATGGAAGGGCTGAAACCTGAAGACGCTGAGGTCAGAGGATAAAAATCTTGACACACACATAAGCACAGAATTCTTCACTGATGAAAATATTGCTGAAAAACACAAACTCATTTAGAGACAAGAACACAGGAACAATTGAATGCTGTGCTAGATTATACATTTAAAGTGAGATATCAAATACTCTTCCAGAATAAGTCTACAATTTATTTTCTTAGTTTTTACTGACTTTTGGAAGCACATATCATTACACACCTTCAACTTGAAGATTACTGTACAGTAGCACATACCTGTACTACTTGTTTCTGCTGTTGTATTGGCTGCGTGGTTGAAATCTGCGCTTTGTCCCGAGTGCCCCGGGTACGTTCACTGCCCACCGAAGTCATCATATACAGTATATACAAAACAATGTATGTACAAAATAGAAAATCTGAAAGAGAAAAAAGAGTGTGCGTTAAGTGGCAATGATTCAATACCCAGGAAACATACAATGCAGTAGATGCAGCTTTACTCGCCTTTAACAGGAATTCTATACAAAGATTCCTGTGAAAAGAGCTCAAAAAACACTACTATTGGATTTATCACAGTCTTTATAGTAAAAGGGATAAAAAGCTTTCTTATCAGCTGATTAGGACCTGTCTAGATCTGTAGTTTCAGACAACATCTACAACTCCTAGACTTTTCTCTCTGCTGATCTGTTGAGATTGCAGTTCCAGCTGTGTAACTCTCTAAATTTTTGCAATATCTCCCCCCGTTTTGATGCCTGGAATTTAAGCACGATAATAGCTATTCAGAACACTAATTAAATAATCACTTTCACAAACCAGACAGTTCCCTATCATTAAATCTCTTTCCTACACATATAAAGAGGTTGCAGCCAACATCTACTCATCATCCCTCACTTGAAAGAGAAATGATGACCCTTGCCTTTAAATGCCTTTAGATGCCTTTAGATCTGGTCTGTGACAGTCAGCTTTTACTTAAATTCATTTGGTCATTAGAATCATAATCTTTGAAACAAGAAATTTATTATTCCCCCACATTTGTACAACACCTAGCACAAAACTGACAGATGAAAAAAGGTTTTTGGTAGGTACGATAACTGAAAACAGCTCTCAGAATATTCATCGTCAATTGCTTGTTTTCCATCCCTGCAACACTGGGAAGCAAAACTGCAAATATAGAGAAGTAAAGACAATGCATACTTGCTGCCACTGGGCAGAAGATGTGCAACGTTGCAGCAAAGACTTTTCACTACTGCCTTGGTGCAAGAATGTGTCTCAATGCACAACCTGCCAGGGCAAGTAGCTTCAGCACAAGCTCAAGGCTGAGCTCAGTGCAAAATAACACTAAAATTAAAAGCAAGCAAATAACTGTGATTATACAGACAAGAATGTGTTCAATATCAAACTGGTCACCAGCTTTTACAAGCAATGTGTACTCAAAAACTGAAGATCAATGCGATGTTTCTGATCTATGGAACTCAGAAGCCTCACCTAGATAACAAAGACAATTAACACCATTACAATCCTCAATTTAGAAATATTTTTTTGTTGGCCAAAATTGAACCCAACATTGAACTGTTTTGCGCGACTGTTAAAGCTATCTCAGGCTCTGTGCCTGACACACACTTCCACAAACTCTTACATATTTAACAAGAAAATGCCTGCCTTTACCAGGAACAAGCCATAGTATGATCAGAACTAGGACAAAGTGTTTTATTCACAGCGATCAGGACAATTTATAAATACATTCACCAAAGCCAATGTGTTTTGCAGTCTCTTAATGTAGTCTAACTTCATTGTCTTTTAAACCCTTTAACAGGCTTTCAGAGCACTGTGCTTTAACATCCTAACAGTCAAATACAGTCAAAAGTAACTAAAGCTCTGGCAAGATGATCCATGGAAAGCAAAATGTGAAGCAGTCACGAAGACAGCCTGAACAACTTCAGTGCTTACCAAGCACTCTGGTCATGATTGTCCACAGGGCCGAAGCACTAAACTTAGAATGTGCACAGAACACTAAGCATTACTTTCACTGCATTAAAATCCATTGTAAACTATGCTGACTGAAATTCCAGTGCCTTAAGACTAACTCAATTTTATATATGCTAATAACAACCTTTGGTTTGTCTGAGGGTTGGCTTTGTTCTGCAACAAGTTGATGGATACTTCAAAACAATTTCAATCAGGTGATTAAAAGTAATAATAAAAAGCCCCAAAGAGAAAATAAAGCACAAGAGAAACTCATCTGAAAGAGAAGCTAACAGTTTAAACTATGACCGTCTAGAATCCACTCACAAAGATATGCTGAAGAATTGGAGCACTGCTGGGTCTAAACCTGTTCATCATTTCCGAATTAAAGTTGTGTTTACATAGATTTTGGTATCTTGAAATTCTGACACTCATTTCACATGCTAATTTCTCTACTTTCACTAACTAAACAAAGCTCCTCAAAATATTGAGATTCAAGCTTCGGATGTGACTGGAGTGCACATGTTAAGACAAAGGTTCTGTTTTTAAAAATATCTGTCTGCCTATGGCTATGTGAAAGCCAGGCAACATGTGGATACAGAAAAGGATTGGGCCTGTTCTGCCTTTCCTAACACACAGTACGGTGCCTCTGTACCACAACTGCTTAAGCTATGACTGTTTTTCCACAAGGAAAGGATCTTTTAAGGAAAAATGAAAGCACATGAACATTTGAAACACTCCTGGGGAATGATGCTATGTAGCAAGGTCTGCCTGCCGGTCAGAATGGTGCCAGATAATCTTATGGTATCATGAGATCTTTAGGCAAGATCCTAATCTTGCTGACCACACAGCACTGTGAGCAGCATGACATGACAACAGGTCCAAAGCAGAAAAACAGCAAAGGTGAGAGCCTCTCTTCATGGACTTGCTTCAGACAAGCACGGAAACAAACACACCCTCAGTCTGAAGTTCCCTTCAAGCCAACAAGATCATGCTACCATCTATTTCAGACACGAATCCACTGTCTTAAAAGCACTGCTGACAGCAGCCGCAGCAAGGCCCGAGCTGAAGGGCTTCATCTGCTGCTGGCAGTGCAGAGGAGAAACGCCCACCGTCCCACACCAGCCGTGCGCACATCTCACAGCTGTGAGGTCCAAAGCAGCAGGCTGAAGCAGGCAGATCGCCATTGCCTGCTAATTACCACAGTGACTAGGATGTCAAGCACTACATGGGATATTATTAATAAAATTAATGAGATGGATCTGAACAGGAACATTTCCTTGCTCACAAAGCAGTTGTCATAGCAATGAGGAGGATGAACTTAATTTTTTACTGTAGATCAAACGAGAAAAGAAGATTTGAGACTAGAAGAAGACAACTCTTAATTAAAAATCTGTTTAATAAAGATTAAAAAAAAAAATATTCAGACAAGCAGATGTTTCAGGACACCAAGGTCTGTCTCAGGGCTGAAGTCCTTTATTCCAAGCTAGTACTTGACCTTGTAAACATACCGAAACTGAAGCAAGCAGTCAAAACAGCTGTATTTGGAAGAAACAGATATACATGAAGCAAAACAGACCTCCAGAAGACAGAAAAGCAGAACAAAGCGTAAGAGATTAGAATTCCCAAAACTTCTGTAAAGTAACCACAGTCTCATAACGCCACAGATACACTTGTTTATAACACTGTAAAATAAAAGGCTTCTAATAATCCACAGGAAGACAGCCTTTACATAAATGAAATGGGAAACAGAAACCATAATTAGTATTTAACAGAACAGCCATGTTGAATGTCTCACACACTGAGATACGCAAATCTCAGCCAATAACTACACTTAAAAGTTGGAAGAAACAGTCATTTAAAAGGAAAATCATCCTAAATATCCAGGTTTTGTTGTACAGCAAGCCTAGTCCAAAAGCGCAGACATGACTGCAGACGTCAGCACCAGTAGTAGAATGGAACAGCTATTTTCATGTCCAAAGCCAGCAACTAAACATTGATGCCCTACAACAAACTCCTCTAGGATTATGAAATTCCACCCCTACAAGTCTCCACATCAGAGTCATATTCAACACAGCTGCATTTTTGCAGTGCGCTTTACAAAGAAGACCAAAAGAAAAAAAAATAAAATCAATGAGTAAAAGCATTACCAACATAAAAAGCAGGTTTATCATAATGCTTTCTTTGATCTTTTCTTCAAGCCTCCTTGGGCACGAAATCTAGACTCCAGAAAGTCAGAAAAATCAAGACAGACAGAATATAGATCAGCATGGCAGGCCCTGCAAGACACAGACAATCTATTGATGAAGTTTCAGGACAGATCCAACACCACAGTACCATCTGACTTCCAAGAATCCTTCTGAAGTTAAATATTCACTTCCACAACCTGAACAAATCATTTGCAGTTTTAATTCTCTTCCTGAGGCAGCCTCAAGCAAGCAATTTTTCTTGACTCTGGACAAGAAGGTGCGATAAAGAAGACTGCAGACATCTGTGTGAACATCACAGAACCATGACTGCCCTTTTATCCTCTCCTGAAAGCTACTCAATCAATGATCTACTGCAATAACAGGGTTGGGAAAAGGCTGTAGGACATCGTCTCATGATGGCATGACTACCATACATGAGCAACGAGTCCAGATTGTATTGCTAAGGAAGTAGAGTGACAAGAGCATGAGGAAGAAGCACAAGGAAAAGATCAACATCAGCTTAGCATGAATTCAATGCATTTCCCTCAAATGAAGACTTGTCTAAATAACCTCACAACTTTATTACTGCTTGGAAAGGGCAAGGAGTTTACAAGAGTCAAAAGTTCTTAACAAAAAGTGCCGACTACTCCATGTCTGTACTGCCCCAAGATAATAATGCTGAACCTCATCTAATGGATGCTGGGAGGATTATGGTCTCATCTTAACTTATCCTATACTAAATAGGAAGAATATTCATGGCCAGGAATAGATCTCGATCACTGGTCAAACACCACAGGAGATAAAAGTTGTACTATCTGTATGCTCTCATATAGTTCCATGAAAATAAGGTTGCTGGGAGTGCCCAGCAGTCAGTGCAAGTACCAGCAAAACCCAACACACACACTTCCATCATCTACAGCTCTTCCATTCCCAAAGCTAAGGGAAGAAGCAACTGTGTATTCTTAACCACCTCATTTATAGGTGGTTACTTATAACCAACTAAGCAGCTGCTTGAAATTGCTATTCTGCAATCCACTCGGTAAACCTGTAATTAAGGAAGAACACACCCTAGAGCTACAGAAATTAATCATTTCTCATCATGAGATTAAAACCAAACCTAATCTTAAAGATTAGTATTTTTAAGCAACTGTTATAAAAAGAAAGATAGAGGGAAAAACAAATAGAACAGTTGCTACAAGAACAGACATTGTTTTGGGAGAAAGAAGCGACCAGTTTTCAAAAGACAGAGATGAAAAGGTTGGTCACGT